TCTTTCTTGCTGTCTGTACCTCTGGAAAGCCGACATGTTCAGGTCATCGTCGTAGACCATCCTTCCCATACCACGTTCGCTGTTACCTCCTATGCTTTTTGCGGAACCTGTGGCAATCTTGTAGACCTTCTGACGACCACCGAACAGCACATTGCCTTCTCCAGGGCGAGCACGACTCATGACACTGCCATCTGGATTGGAGTTGTTGTCGGTTCCATAGCCCTCTTCAGATGCAAACGAGCCAGTTCGGTCGAGAGCGAAGGGTGGGCGGATAGAGCTGTTGATTGAAGCAACCTCGGCAATGTCGTTGAGATTACTGGATGAGAAGCCAAAGTCTAGTAGGCGAGAGTTGCGTTGAGGTTGGAGGACACTATCATCCGAGGCCTTTCCGAGCAACGAGTTTGGGTCGTCTTGCTCTCTGAGCATACTGAATCTGGTCGAGAGGTTGGGCATGATGAGACTGGTGCGGAAGTCGTCGATTGACGGCAGGGCAGAATCTAGATCAAGCTGTGGTTTCTCCTCGACAACTTCTTTCTTGTTCTTCTTCCATTTCTTGGTGCTTGGTGTGGGCGGTGACAGCGGGCTAGCGGCCCCATCGCCATTCTTCTTGCCGAGAAATCGATGCATGTTGGGTGGTTGCCAGGTTGTTTACGGTGTCTGGGCGACTGGAGACAGAAAATGAGAAGAGACTCTTCGAATGTGACGGAAAGTGCTCTCACACCATGGAGCGGTCGAACCAGGAGCTGGGTACGGGAGCCTTGCGATGCATGCAAAGACAAACGAAGGGCGATTGAAAGACTTGGCCAGCCGGTGGCTCGTAGGCAGTCGGTGCCGCAGATGCAAACGCGCAATTGGCGCAATGGTCGACAACGCAGGTGGCCGTCGAGGGGCAATGTGGGTGTGTAGGTGTGTGTGGTGGGGTCTGGTAGACTTGTGCTAAGGAATGTTGTCGGGAGATTGGCGATAGTCGTCGAAGACGCTTCCGGGAGTGAGTTGCAAGAAATGAGGGCTGGTCGAGGGATGCGACGAAACAAGTGAATGGAAGAACGAAGGCAGAAAGGGAGCTGGTCGAGTCTGACTCGAACCAGTCACGAAAGAATCGAGTAGAGTAGGCGGCACACAGACTTCGTTTCACTGCGGAAAGCGCAGATTGCTCTCTCCACGCGCTTGTCTCTACCGTTGCCGCTCTGCTGCTGATCGGAATTGTGTATTTGTCGAGCAAAAACGTCTTTCAGCGAACGGCCTCAATCATCGACATAAATCTGAGAAGAGCGGGCACTCCTTAATATCCCATTGACCCTCTTTGGAAGAGACTCCCTTTGCACATTAGCCTGCCCACCACGCTGCAAGAAAGCCGACCATCTGTTTCAGCTTCAAGTGACGTGCCAAACCCACGACGCAATCTAAAGCAGCACTGTACATATTCTGAAGTGCCTGCCGAACTATCATCTCCTCCGCTTCGTCATGGCTCGTATATCTGTGACCACCATGGCTAACACGCAACAATTCCCTCTCCCGCATCGCCATCGCCATCGCGGTAGGACGATACCATCAAACACAGAGGCGCTCCAACATCCCGGTCACGGCATGGCAGTCATGGGCCCTCGTTGTGCTTGGCTCAGGGGTAGAAATTGAATGAACCACGTTCCCGGGCATGGCGGTCGTGCGACATGATTGGCTCGGGCCACTTTCACTTTGGCAAGGAGAAGCCTCTTCGGCGGGCCGCAGAAGCCGTCAAGTTCGACTCGCCTAGTCAAAGCATCTTTCACCGGCTCCATGACAGCTTCCGAGAAGGCCTGTCGAGTTTCGAAATCTCTTCCTCGACCCATGTGTCAAAGTTGTGCCTCAGGGCTTCGGCTTTTTACCCTGCCTGATAGACCCCTAGGCCTCCATCTCGACTTCTGCGACCATGCTGCGAACGACAAGCCCGACAGACCGCGTGGTTACAGAAGTAAACAAGCCAATGGCTCCAGCGCAGGGTCTACCAACGGTCAAACACCAACAGCGGGACGTTGCAAAAGACAAAATTTTAACTCCGCCGTCTTTTTGCTACTTGTGCGCCATCCTTCCCACCGGTCATCTCATGTTGAGAGCTGAGACAATGTGAGGCTCTTTGGAATCCCATGTTCTAGGCGAGCTCTGCACTTGCGACAACACATCCTTGTATCTGTTCACTTGGTTGCGTGAAAGCACATTTTAGCAGCCGGAAGATCATTGACGGGCTACTTCTCCTTCAATTTACACACTTCGAGCCTAAAAATCCTCCGATGGACGATCACTGATTGACAGCTTTCGGTGCATGATCGGGTAAGTGTGTTCTTGGTACTCTCCCATGTCGATCTAGATTTCTACCGGTACGATATATGAATCTTCTCACGCATCTGATCATCCTGCGTTGAACAGATTGTCCGCATGGAACAAACGGGTTCTCGTGTAGATCAGCACAAGAATATGGGGAGAGTCTAGAGCTTGTCTGTTTACACAGGTTGTGATAAGAATAAGACCGTAGGGACTCGGAGTACGTCGGCTGGTCACTTATTATTTTTGAGAGACATGTTCCATTCAATGTTGATGTGATTGATTTGGTGGCTCTTGCGAGCGTGTGCAGGAGATGAGATATCATCTGGGAGTGTGTATGGTTGTGCGTCTATAGGAGAGGGCATGATACCAGACCACCCAATATCATAACCAGGCCACCCCTGAAGATCTCACCCTAACGGCCGCTGAGCTCTTCTCATCATCATGCAGAAACGATTTGCAACCTCCAGCTGTCAAGCCTCACCGTAATCCGAGCATCTAGCTGCACAGTTCAACAAGCATGCAGGAAATAAGTCTTGTGATGAAGCTTGCACAGACGCCCTCAACCGTTCGCAGCGTTTGATCGTAGCAGTGCAGAAGTGACCTCATCTCTCTCGAGCCGCTCAATCTTTCTGTACAAGGTTGCTGAACATGTTGTTGGATCTCCACGCCACGCCAGGCGGTGTACGATCACCNCCCGTATGCTCACCCTTCTTCTTTCTTTTCTTTTTCTTCTTTGCCGATGTTTCTGTGGTATCTTGGGAAACACCTAAACTTTGTAACGTATTCAGAACCGCTGCTCTAGCAGCCTCGGCTTCACCATCAATCTTTGTTGTTCTCTCGTCAAGGAGTTCTCGTAGACTCGGTAGGTCGTGGAGTAAAGTGATGAGGTTATGCAATGGCGTGAGGATCTCATGTCCAGTGCTTTCAAGGAGGTTGTGTACAATGGTGGAGATTTGGGATAGCATCCTCAGTGAATAGAGAGAAGCTTGCATCTGGCCGCTTGCATGGATGAACGACCAAGATAGCACACCTTCTCGCGAACCTGCGACGAGTCTGCTAATATCGCTGCTGAGTGGCGGAGGCTTGTCGTTGTCAAGCTTAGATTGACAGACAAGTTTTACCGCCACAGCACGCCACTTGGCCGCTCTGGATAGTGACGAGTGATGTTCTAGATCTTGCTGCAAAACATTCAAGCAGTGTTCCAGCATCAGACTTGGGCTGGATGTGCAGTCCAACTCGACCACCGTTCCTGCCACGCGAGTGCCCTTTCGCTCAAACTCGGTGACTTGTGTGATGCTTGAGTTCAGCACGCGCAGTAACGAATACGCCTGAGCACGGATGGAAACACCAGATCTCCATGCAGATGTTCTCGTCGGATCATCATTGATGAATGGAAGATACATATTGAGGTTCTCGGAGTCTTGCAAATCTGAAGGTGCTTCTTGATTCTCCTTCACGCGGACCAGATGGACAATCTCAGAAATCCTGGGATCCAGACGAGCAAGCGCTTCTGCTGTGTTCGTCTCGTTCATGCTTCCTGCCATGGCCAATTTCGACAGTCGAGGCAGGGATCCATATTCTTCCGCAAACTCTGCAAACCCAGCAGACATTGGTGTGTCCTTTGAAGCAAGTCTGACGTTCTCTGTAAGACTTTTGTGGTGGTCCTGGGACATGAAAAATGCCAATTTGACCAGATTCGCGAGCTCAAACCGCTTGGCGATAGCAGCTGGATGGTACTTTTGAGTTTTGAGACATTTGCCTCTGCTTGGGAGATGGATCGTCTCAAGGTCTCGGAAGAGTATCACCTTTCCCGACTTTCCCAGATCGTGCACCAAGAGATCCGAGTCGCTGGTGAAGATGACACCACCATGCTGCCTAGCGGCTTCTGCACAGTACGCATCTGCCTCGCCGGGAACGACAGAGACTAGAGAGCTGAAGCGGCTTTCAAGAAGCATCTCGATGACTGCAGGAACCAAGAATGGTGGAGCAGGAAGAGCTCTGAAACGATTGGCAATGGCGCCCGCACTCAAAACATCAGAATTTGAAGATTGTACATTGTCTGCACGAGAAGGCAAGTCTTCCTTGTTCAGCGCCTTGAAAGTGACGAGCTGGTTTGCATAGCCCTGCAATCTAGACAACCTAGTGCTCTGCTTGGACAACGGCAACAAGCCATCGAAAAACACGGATTTNACTGCATGGGAGAAAAGAAAAAATTAGCCACTTACTTTGAACAGACCTTGTTAGTCGACATACATTTTCAGTCCGTATTGCTCAATTTGCTCAAGAAAATTCACGGCGGCCTGGCCTAATTCTTGATATGTGGGAGTCGCTTCAAAGGCATTCTTTGCATTCGTCCTACGTGACAGGCACACGTAGAAGATATGATATGCCAGACTCGGGCCGTCGATGATTGCATTCTCGTGGTCGGTAGGATATTGTGGCAGGACCACTTTGTCGCCAAAGGGCGACAGCGAATGCGTCAAGTGTGGTATACCCATACCAGCGACACTTGATCGACCACGATTCAGAGCATCTAGAGGGGACCGTTCGAAGATTGCTGGTTCGGAAGGGGAAAGTGGTCGTCCGAGGACAAACTTCGCGTTGTCGCTTTCGCGACGCGCGGAACGTCTCCCTCCCACTTTCTTCAACTCATCGTGCTCTACCAGATCAAGTAAACTACCACCGAACCAATCGCCAAGATGCCTACAATGTGGCTTTCAGACTCCCAGAGTAAGCATGAGATACTAGCTTGCTAGGTGCTTGATGCTGATTGCAATGTAGAGATTGGGGTTGCCTTTTGCTCCGGCGGTAGGTGAGATTGCGCGCAGAGTCGCATTCGATGTACGAGCAGCTCTGATACAGAATGTAGGAGGCTTCTTCCTGATTGGAGGTGTAATCATGTTCTTTGATCGCTCAATGTAAGTTTCAGCACTGATCTGTCTACAGCACAATAGCTAAACAAAAGACAAACAGGTTGGCCATGGGAAACGTACGCTCATCCAAACCATCAACCACCGACCAACACTCACTCATCCTCCACAGATCTTGTTCCTAGCCGGTATAACCCTACTCCTCGGAGTCCAACGAACATTCCTCTTCTTCGCGCGTCGCCAAAAGATCAAGGGCACGGCAGCCTTTGTCGCCGGCATCATTCTCATCCTCCTTCGCTGGCCATTGATCGGATTCCTCGTCGAGATATACGGCATCTTTATACTGTTCGGCGAGTTCTTCAAGACGATAGCTGGTTTCGCGTACAACATTCCTGTCGTAGGACCATACCTTGCCAGGGGTCTTCAGAAGGCAGGAGAGAAGGCCGGGGAGGGAAACAAGAACAAGGATCTGCCCGTCTAGCGGACAAAAGAGCTTGCGCACTACAAGGCATACTATGGGACACTCCAGCTACCTTATGGACATTAGTCTGCTGTCGTGGTAGCAAAAAGGAGGCCACGGAACAAAGACACGACGAACTCCACGATTCACGACGAACAGCGAATGTACGAAGCAGAAGTTCGTGATACAGCCCTGCACAAGACAAGGGCACGAATTTGGTCATGACTGAGAGGAAAACGGCTCCATGTAAAGCCCCTGTATACCTAAATCTCCAAACGATACGCTTTTTTAAAATCCCAGGACTCCATTCGTATGCTCGTCTCGTTTATTGGCCGTTGGTGTTCGACTTCTTGGCCTGTCTTCTGACTTGGACGGCCTCGGCGAGATCCTTGAGGACATCGACAGTGGTCTCCCAGCTGATGCAGGCGTCGGTGATACTGACACCTCTCTTGAGGCCGGAAGGACCCTCGGCAGGAACCTTCTGGGCACCCTCGTTGAGGTGAGACTCGATCATGACACCAACGATACCCTCCTCGCCGGCGCGAAGCTGCTCCGAGATGGTCTTGGCGACCTTAGGCTGGTTGCGGTGGTCCTTGAGGGAGTTTCCTNNGGAAATGGTAATCAGTCTGTGCTTTCTTTGTGGACAGAGCCTAGTTCACTCACCGTGCGAGCAGTCAATCATCATGACCTCGGGCAGGTTCTTCTTGGCCAGTGCCTCTCTGCACTTCTTGACATTCTCGGCATCGTAGTTGGTACCCTTGGTTCCACCTCTGAGGATGACGAAGCAGTCCTTGTTTCCGGTAGTCTTTGTGATGGCAGCAAGACCTTGCTTGGTAACACCCATGAAGTAGTGCTTAGCAGCGGCANNGGAGCCAATGGCATCAACGGCGACACCCAGACTGCCGTCGGTGCCGTTCTTGAAGCCCATGGGGAAAGACAGACCAGAGGCAAGCTCTCTGTGCAGCTGAGACTCGGTGGTGCGGGCGCCAATGGCACCGAGCGAGATGAGGTCGGCAAGGAACTGGGGAGAGATGGTGTCGAGCATTTCGCTGGCAATGGGCATGCCCTGGCTGGTCAGGTCGCAGAAGAGCTGGCGGGAGACGCGCAGGCCCTTGTTGATCTTGTAACTCTCGTCGAGGTCGGGGTCGTTGATCAGACCCTTCCAGCCGACAGTGGTACGGGGCTTCTCGAGGTAGGCGCGCATGATGATGCAGAGGTCATCCTGAAGCTCGTCGGCGAGCTTCTTGAGACGGCCGCAGTACTCGATAGCAGCGTCGGGGTCGTGCAGCGAGCAGGGGCCGACCATGACGAGAAGACGGTCATCCTGCTTGTGAATGATAGCCTGGGCTTCGCGACGGCCCTTCTTGACGGCCTCGAGAGCGACCTGGGTAGCGGGGATCTCGGAGGACAAAAGTTCGGGCGAAATCAGAGGGTCGTAACCCAAGACACGGGTGTCGTCGTTCTGCGACTCGCGGAGCTGCTGCTGAGCATCGAGGTTGGGGCCGGCCATGTTTGGTGTGTGGGTGTGCTATGCAGAGGGGAAGGTGGGATGACTGTATGAGTTATTGTTGAAAAGAAATGGAAGTCGGGCCGCAGTGCAAGCCGATGGCGGCTTGGTTCTTTGTTCTAGCCGCACTTTTTGTCAAGCCACAGCACGGCAGTACCCCACATTTCACTGGGCACATACAACAAGCAATTGCGTTGCTGATGGCACGTCCACCTGCTCTCACTAGTGCCTGCCTGATCTGGCCCTCGAAACACGCTCGCTGACTTCCTCAACCTTCACTCGCATGCTGGCTCATGTCTCCCTGTCCCTCTTTTGCACCCTGCATATCCTCTTGAATCTGCCTCTGCACTTCAGCCCTGTCTGACCGCCCGTTATGTTCTCTTCGCTGTCCCACAAACGTCGGCACGATGACGACGACGATGTTATGTCCATGCATCACGACAAGGTACAGTCATATCCTTCTCATGCCATGGGCTTCTCAAGCTCACCAACATGTAGAGATTGCGTCACTCTGCTGGACACGATCATGGTGTTTTTGGTCATAACTCTAATGTCGAAGCTCAATCTATACCTGGTGCCATGGACGACTCAATGGCTCCTATCGTTGCTGAAACCGACTCATCCGATGACATGGATATGGATATGAGAGATGACTTTCAGATGGAATACTCTCAGTCTCCTGAACAGCCGTCTTCTTGGATACTCGAAAACACCCCGCTTCGGAACCCGCGGATGGCTCTCGACGATAGAGGCTCGCGAGTACCAACACCGATTGCACTGCTATCTACACGTCCAAAGCCCTCTCCACTACAAGGTAACACCTCTGTCAGTAGTGCCTACGTCCCAAATACGTCCATGCGTGCTCGTTTGGCTGGTCCAAGAGAACGCTTCCCATCACCANTCTCTGAAGATGAACCTCACACACCCACCACTGCCGCTGGAAGCCAGTTCTCCCTGTTAACTGTTAATGACATGGACATGGATGCTGAATCAACCCCTCGACCTCCTCCACAGACACCGGAGATACACGTTCGCAAGCAAAGACAACGAAGTGGCGCATTCACATCTCCGCGAGACCAAGACACTTCCAAAAAGTTCTCAATGGGTTATCGCGACGATTGTGACAAGTGCAGGAATCATGTGCCTGGCCATATGAACCATTTCTTAAGGTAGCTGTCATCTCTTCTTTTTTCGTTTGCATCAGGCCGTTATACTGGGTCATGGGAAGATTGGCGTTCATGGAGTTTCTTTTCTGGCGCAACTGAATTTAGGGGAGCATCATCTATACATCTGTGCATATGAGACCGGCACGTTTTGGAGCTTTTGTAACGGACTCTGCCATTTCAGGGCATAGCCTGCTTTGGCTTCTTCTATCGAGTAGTTCTTCTATTCTGGACCAACTTCCAATATCATGTCCATCACGTCTTTTTGGGACGCTCATGTCCTTGGCTGTCTGGCCCTTGCCCTCCTCCTCATCTTCTTCGTCTTCCTCGCTCATCTCCTCGTCTTCGCCATCACTATCGTCGTCGTCTTTCTCCTGGCTGCCAACACCATTGGCATCACCCATGCGCTCCTCGGCGGTCTCTGATGATGAGAGCTGGCGCAAGGTCAACGACATAGCCACACCGCTCTGCTCGGGCACAAAGTCTTGCCAGCGAGCAGGAGCGCGGCCTCCGGCGCTTGGAGCGCTGAGGAAGGGAGTGCCGGATACGCAAGTCGGCAGGAAGACCGAGGGACTGGTGAAGCTACGCCAGAGACTGAGGGGCGCAGTACTCAATCTCTCATCGTAGACCCCGCCAGGAGCAGAGGCTTCCACTGCTGCTGCTTGAGGTGCATCAGCAGGGTCGTCAGGGGTGACGAGGTGGCCCTCTCTGTTGCGGCCGTCATCTCTGAGGTACATCTATCTCTTATCAGTGCTGGTCCATCTCATCGACAACCCTTGTCACTTACGCCTTCGCCGCCAACCATAATCTTGTCATAGCTGCAGTCAAGGCCCGCAACCACGCAAGCCGAGCAAGGTCGACCACGATCGCAACTGATGCTGCGCAGATGGCACTGTCTGCAGCCCGTCAATGTGTCCATCTTGTTCTGCAACAACATCAGCAATCTGCTCTTACTCCTGGTAATCATCATAGATCTTTCCTGCATATACTTACTGATCTTGGAGGCAGGGAAGGTATTTATGCTGTGCTCGCGGACCTGGGATGCACAAAGCTGAACCAAGATCTCGTTGTTTTGCGGAAATTCTGAATCATTTTATGCGTCTCTTCAAGGAAATGCCGAGACGTTCTTGCTTAGTCGGCGGACCCGGGTGTCTGGGACTGTCCTCGTTGGGTGTTGTTCGCGGTTCAAATCTTCGAGACATCTCAGAAGTTCTCAGACTTTTTGCTTGTTTACTTTTGTGTCACTTTAAGCTTGGGTGTAGAGCCTTGTGGTTGACCATTGCAGTCGTGCTTTGTATAGAGCTGGCTTGTTTACCTTGCGGGAGCTTTGTTGTGTGCCTGGTCACCTTGTCTTGGTATGAGATATTGACGTTCTCCCTAGATGGAGCATCAGTCGCTGGAACCTTTGTCCATTCTCACGAGTCTTTCGGCTTTCTAGTATCAGTAGCTCGGAGATGCTGAATTGCAGCACTCTCATTGGACAAGGCTGCTTTGAAATAAACTTTCTGCATCCTTATAACCAATGTATTGGTGGAATGGTTTGGCCTGAAGTCGCAATCAAGATGTTGACGTTTTGAAATATTGCAATGCAGATTTTGTCACAATCTCACGCATATATTACCTACACAGAATGCTACCAGACTAATATAAGCCCCCTACTCATGACAGAGTAGAACACCAAGGATATAAAGTACAGCTGATGTCGTTTGTTCGAGTTCTTGTCTTCACAGTGCTTGTTGTGGGTACAACCCTGACCATAAACATCTCCTTCTTACTCAACTTACACATCATCACGACAATGAACAATTCCAAAAGCACAGTTTGAATGCCACGTATAGTGGAGGCAAAACTGACATATTCCTTCTATCTACTTTTCATTTCATAAAAAGGCCAGCCTTTTAGCCCATCTACCACTCGCTATCTGTATCACTCAAGGCAACCCCAGAAGCCTCAGACCTAACACAGCAATCCCCTCCCAACCTCTTGCCCCTACAGCAAAAGAACTTCTACTTCTTTACTTTACCGTCGCACAGTTGGACAACAGCGTACTTGCCACTCCAAGCCCATTTGCGGGCACCGCTGTCACCGCCTCCGTTTTCAGAGGCACGCAGACGCTCGTCTTCGCCCGAAGGTAGACCGACCACGACGTCGGCTTTGCAGGTGCGGAGGGCGAGGGTGCGCATGCCTGAGTTGGGGCCTAGAGGGCCGATGGCGGTGGTGAAGGGGGTAGTGGGATCCCAGGCTGCNCTGTGTTGAGGAGAGATGGTAGTTAGTCATCTATGCCAGGAAAAAAGCAACAGAGGTAACAAAAAGAAAAGAACACTTACATCACCAGTCAACTTTCTGTAGTTCAAGTCGCCCTTGAAAATGACCAATTCGCTGGTCTTCAGGTCTTCGAAGAGTGCAGAGGCGGTACCGGGAAGTCTCCAGTAACTGCCCGCCTCGGTCCAGAATCGGTTTGGTCTGAGCACAATCTTGCCTTCTGCATACAATTCACTCCAGTTCTGGAACAACTGTTGCATGTCCGAAGCTTCCTGTTCCGACAGAGGAGAAGGCGTGACACCCTTGGCTTCATCTTCTTCAGAGGGCGACTCGTAAAAGTGCTTTGCGTTGACCAACACGGTCAAGAGGTCTGAGAAATCCTTGGGCACGACATCCGAAACAAACCAGGGAATGTTCTTTGGGTGCAAGACCACCGTGGTAGCCAAGCCGGCTTGCAACAGGTATCCGGCGAGAATGACGTCGACGAAGAGTTCAAAGCCGGCATTGTCGAGAACGATATCTACGCGGCGCTCCTTGGTACCTTGAGTTTTGGCTGCGTGCAGCAATTCAAAGGCTGCGTCAAAGTCATTGGCGATGATGTTCTTCTCTGCCGCCTTTCTGGCCTTGGAGCCTTGAAGTTTTTGAATGTCTTCGTAGGTGAGGTTGGTGAGGAGAGATAGATCGGTGGCATTGCCCCAGAGACAGATCTCGCACATTTCGGTAAAGAGGACCTTCTCAGCTGCCACGCGTTCTTCTTCTGATTGGGAGGAAGCAGTCTTAGAGGAGAGTTGTTTGGTCAGTTCGTTGTAGCGAGAAGCGAGCTCCAGGACCGCAGGACGAGAAGAGCGGAAAGTGGACATCTTTTGCTTGTTGAAGACGTCGTAGTTCTTCCAGTGGGTTGAGAGCTTGAAGAGAGTGGCCATCCGGCGGTACAGGTAGCACTCCGAGAACAGCCATGGCACATTGAACCACTTGGGATTGCCAAGCTGCTCTAGTTCCTTGTTGTAGCCCTCGATGTCACCTTGTCCGTCGTCGGCGAGAGGTCTTTTGAGCCGTCAGTATCGTCAATGAGAAATTGTCGTTCATCTTACTCACGTAAGCTGGCGGTCGTGCTGCAACTCATACTTGAGCTTGGCGAGCTCTGAAACAATGTTTTTGCCCTCGGCTTGCTTCTCAGAGTCCTCGGTCTTGCCAATTGCCTTGTGCAAGTCGTCAATGGCTCCTGTCTGACGCGCTTGTTAGTAAATGTCGTAGAAGCTTGTGTTTCGAGGTCTTGTCCAATCTCCTTCGAGAATGACAGCAATCACGAGTCCTATGTGTCTGTTTCAAGCGAACCATATCCACTAGATTTCAACAGAGAAGATTGATCTCATAATACCCCTGACTACTGAACAGCATGACACCCATGAGGCCAACACCATATCAGGAGCATCGGAAGCAGCAGGCAAAGTTCAAGAAGGCATTCGAAGAAAGAGACTGAGAGATTCCAGCAACCACTCACAAGAATAATAGGCCAGCGGTCGCGCGCCGATATGTAGGCAAAAGATATCTTGTCCGAAGTCTGGTAAAGAGCTATGTTTGCCACAATCAGTATATGACACATTGCAGATGTCACTGGAGTCACCTACGCGTCTTAGTATCGAACTCCATGCTGGGCGATTAATGTTATGGGAATCTCAAGAAAAAAATGTTGACGAAGAGTGTTGGTTTCATACAAGCCCAAAGCATGCTGTGTCATCGAGCAGCTTCGGCTACGCTAGCCAAGTTTGTCGATTCCGGCTACGCTGGCTTGATTTGTGAATCACATGCTGGGCAACCACATTTCTGCAGCCCACGTTTTCTTTCCCGCACTTTCTTGGGGCAATGTTCGTCAACAAAAAGTTCGGCGAGAGCGAGCCATGGTCTATAACAAAATGATGTATCCGCAACGTATCACAGACAAAAGCAATATGGAGTAGCTGGGAATCGAACCCAGAACCTTCTCCAACTCAGGACTGCTCAAGAGCAATGCTAAGAAGATGTCATACCACTAGACCACAACCCCAATTGATGATGAAATGTGCTTGATTGACAATATTGAACTTTGGTCTTCGTGATCATTCCCCTCTCGCCTGCTCGGATCTGATGGCGCGTACCGTCGCTCACCCAAGCCTAGTATGTGTGGTAGTGTAGTTGTTGTAATACCAACTAGATGGTGCTGACGCTGTAGCTGTTCTCGTTGTCGACGGCGAAGCACTTGAAGCTGAAATGTTCAGATATCCTGCAGGAGACTCTGTCAAGGCCTGCGTACTGTTCTGTGAGAAACTGCCAGGTGAAGTGCCAGTCTGACTGTTTTGACCAGTTTTGAGAAGTGCCAGTAAGCTGTAGTGACCGCCAGCGACAGGTCTCGCGATGAAAGTCGGTCCTCCAACAGGGTAGCCACCGGTGCCAATAGTCTCGAAGAGATCGCCAAAGGCCAGGTTCGTGCTCGTGTTGTTGAGCCAATATGCTAGCGAATTTACGAAGAGTCGACGAGTTTCGGGGGAGCATGTAGCTGCGGTCCACATCTCCCAGTCAGACTTTGTGTAGGTATGACGACTGTCGAGTTGGACCTGTAACTGTTAGTCAGGGACCTCAGCGACGCGTGATTCCAATCCACTTACACCAAAAACTTGAGAAATGGTTGGGTACCAGTCGCTCTGCATATCGTAGAGACTCTGAGGAATGATACCGAGATTTAGAAGCTTGTCGGGATAGGTGTTGTAAAGCAGACCAAAGGATCCACGGCTCTGGTAGGCGAGCATGGTATGTCTACCGCTTGGATCAATCGCAAACTGCTCCCATTGCGTAAAGTAAGACGTTGCAGTAGCTGAGTAGTTGGCCGCAGCTACAAGGTCACCTAGAGCCTCTNNGGAAATAAAGGACATCGCTTTGAGCCCTACAATACCTTTAATCGCCAGGTTGGTCTGGTTGGCAAGTGTTCCAGCAAAGTCATCAGTACTCAGCTGAGCGTCTGGCACGAGAGAGTATTCAGTCACGTAAGTCGCCCATTGGCGATATTTCGCGTAGTGCTGAGAGAGAAAGCTTGCATCTCCGGTGAATTTGAAGTATGCGTAAGCCATCAGAAGCATGTTGCCGCTTTCTTCGACTGGCATGTACTCATCATTACCTTCGACATGACCAGTGGCATTCGGGAAATGCGTTCCAAGATCGTGCATGCTGTAGCCATTGGGATAGAATCCATTTTCTTGATGGTAGAACAGTGGATTCAACACGAATTTAAGCATCTGGGGATTGGCGTAGAGGTAGAAGGGTAGCGCTGGGAAGATGACGTCGACGGTGTTCATGTTGCCATTACTCGAAATCTCCTTCTGGAACATGAGTGGTTCGCCTTGCGTGATCGAGGATGAGTTGCTGTATTGAAGGATTGGCGGAGCGGTCAAAACATATGCTGCCATAATTTGACGCGCGCTCAATGCGACAATAGCATAATAGCTCTCAGCTTCCGAAACATCAGGAACAGCAACACCGCTGAAGTTGTTAGGACTGAGGAAACCATATCCATTACTTGAGTCGAAGATATATGCCTGGTCGAATTGGTCTATACCGTGTTCTTCTTCACCCGAGGCATTGGCGTACAACGGAGGAGGATACGGAGTGCTGTTACTGTATATTGGTCCTGGGGTCGTCGAGTAGTATGCTTGTACGTCTGCCTTGAGCCGAGCCTCAAAATTAGCTCCCTTGGCTTGACTGGTCGTGAGATCGTTGTAATGGAACTCGATGAGGTCGAACAAGTCTTCTCCATAACACTCCGTCCACCATGGCTGTAGAGAGACAAGTCCATCTGATGTCAAGAACCTGATGACGTTTTGTTGCACTGTCCCGATAGTATAGAGAGCGCTCCCTGAAGTTGCGGAGCCGAAGTCATGGACGAAGGCGAAGATGGGTTCCTTACTCTGAGCACCACGGTAATTGGAATCCACAATGTCAGAGAGCCGAAGTCTTGAGACAAAGTTATATCGTAGGTCGAGGGAATAGCCACTTTGGAAACCGAACTTTCGAGAACTGCCAGGACTGGACGAGTAGGTGAGACTGCCCCACTGAGGGAAATCTGCCTGTTCTCCGAACTCATACTGGTTTTGCTGAGAGAGCACCCAACTATAGACCGTAGACGGACCACCAGTCGCATTACCACTTCCATTGACAGCCGAGCCTCCTTCAAACAGGTTCCAAATCACGGTCGTGTTAGTCTCTGGTGAGATCCAACCTGCGTTGACATCACTGTATAGCTGGACATCATGAAATTGGTTGTCCGTACTGTGAAAGCTGACTTGAAGGTAGCTCAAAGGAACACTGGTCCGGCAAAGGTCCTGTGGTATGACGGGACTGAAGAAACTCGCGACAAGATCAACAGGGCCAGCACGGATGGTGAAGTTCGAGTATTGAGAATCGAATGAGACGGCGAGTTGAGAAGCAGTTTTGATGTTACTGAGGGGTGGAAGAGATTGCAATCCGGTCCCCAGATACTCATAAGCAACCTCATCTACGACGATGATGCCTTCCCAGCCAGCAGCGATCCCGGGCCAGAACATAGCGCCATTGGTGTTGAGAGTGCCATTGTTGGCAGTAGACGTCCATATGCTGGTGTAGGGGCTGCGGACAGCAAGAGGTATCGCTGGAGGCCGGACAGGCGATTAGGAAGGGGTCTTGTGCCTAGGAAAGGTGAGTATGAACACCGGAGAGAGACACTCAACGGTGTAATATCTGGGCCATGACAATCTTTACCTGTTGGAGTCGTAGTTCTGAGTGTAGGGGTCCTGTGCCCAAGCAGTTAGAACAAGTAATGCAGATAGCAATACTTTGGTCATGGCGAGCGATGGGTCAAGCATTGTTGAGACGCTCGAGAATTTGACGGAGGACTACATGGCTATAAGTGTGATGGACGGCAAGTGCGGAGAAGGAAGTAGCGAGGGCTGTTCCTTCATTGCATGCTCCTCTCGAAGCATGTCTTCTGTGGTTGGCCCGCCAAAAGCTTGATGCGGAGAAAATGAGAGGGGATCATCGATACAGCAAGTCGGTCAGTCCGGCTCAACGCAGATGAGGTGCTGCGTGCATTTCGCTGTAGTGCGATGCATGATATATGAATACGTGGTACAGAGGCAGTGGTTCAGGAACAGCGTCGTACGGTTCCTTGGCGAGTGTACGGCATTACTATCTGAAAGACTCAGAGAGGTGATGGCTGAAGGAAGAATCTTGGTGCAGGGGAAAAAGCAAGACTGATGAAAGTTTAGTTGAAGAGTATGGAAGCAGCTGTGTGACGGAGTCCGGTGAAGAGAACTTGGTATCTGTCTTTTGGACCCAAAAATGATCATATTGGAATGAATTTCGGCAGCTTCCATCAATCTCTTCTTAGCTCAGTTGGTTTAGAGCGTCTGACTGTAATTGTTCGATTGTCATCAGAAGGTCCTTTGTTCGACTCAGAGAGAGGAGATTTCTTTTTGTATTTTGCGCGGACGTCATGATGTCCATCCTTATCAGAAGACGAGCCGCCCCGAGACCTATTATTTTGTGATCGTGGTTAAAATTGCCGTGGCTATTTCACTTCTAGACTTTAGCCATTGTCGCCGTTGGCTTTACATAGGCTGATTTGTATAGAGTGAGAAGTAGCCATGCATGATCGAAAAACAAGAAGGAGATTAGGCCAGCGATGATGGATGGATGGATCCTTTCACATGTGTCTACGTTAAAAATGCTGGGAATACTCAAAGGAGAACAAGAGGAAGCAAATGGGTTTATGACACTTGCTCAAGAGACCCTCTCTCGTCCCTTGTGTACATGCCAAGTCGGACCAGCGAAACACATTGAGATCTTGATGGGTGATACACAGGTAGTCTGCTTGCTATTCTTTGTCTATTACGTCTCATGTAAATTTCAGATGCCCATGTCCGGCTGCTCTCATTTGGACGGTTAGTCATTATTCGTGTGGGATACGGAGGAGCTTGTTGGCTACGTCCACTTTTGTGGTTGACCACCCCCACCGCCATCCGCCGCAGTGTGTACCGTAAGTCTCAGCCTATGATGCTTTCTGGCCATCTTGGTGTGCAGGAGAGTTGGTCCCGAACAGAGGCATCGGCGTGCCAAACGCACCTAGTTGCGGCCTTCTGTAGTTGATGTTCTCATATAAGTCTGGCTTGCGATCTTCTGGCTTCCCATTCTGGGTATGCAATGCGCTCGTGACGAAAGCCTGCTGGGGAGCGGAGTGTTCAACAGGAAGTTGCAGAGGCAACCCATTTTGTGCTGCGCTAGTATGTGACGGTGCGCCATGACGATCTACCTCGGCTGGGTCACTGGGTGTCTCGATAGTTGATGCGCTGGATAATCCTGAGAAATCTCGCCTGTCTCCACGGTTGTTGAGTGGATTGCCTATTGCCGAGCGAACTTTGAGTTGATCGGTCGGTGAAATATCACCAGGTGGGCCTTGTGCGAATCGTTCTCCAGTCTGTGGTACCGCGCTGGAAGGAGGGTCACTGGGAATGCCAATGGTGTCGTTAGAGCCAAGACCGTTCTGTGGGTAATCGGCACGCTTTGCCGGGTTTGGTAGAGGTGTAGTGAAAGGGGAGGCAGTACGCTGGCCCGGAGCGGAGACTTGGCGCATCATGTTCGGTTGGAGATGCATACCATATGCGCCGAATGGACCAGGGGTCCGCGATTGGTGATGCAAGGGATGCTGAGGATTGGCCCAAGGAGTCTGCTCTATAAATCTCTCCTCGGCAGTACGTACTGATGCAGGAGCCGAATGCATATGCACGGGATTTTGGTAAGCGGGGCCTTGCTGTTGAGGTAACGTTTGTCTGCGTGGGATATGCATGGCCTTGAAGTCATCGTCAAGCTCGTTCGTCCGTGCGCCTTGGATGTCTGGCGCAGCAGGGAAGCCTCGGTACTTGGCCATACCAGACAAGATTGAGACTTCGCGGTTGTACTTCTCCTGGTTACGCACTTGGTCGGAGCGCTTTGTAGGAAACTTGTACGAGTACTGATCCTGTTGGTCGGCCTGGAACTGGCGACGTTCCTTTTGTATGTCGTACCATTGCTTTCCTAGCTGCTCCAACAGGGAGTCACGTAGCTCTCTTGCTTCCTGGAAGTATTGGGTATGCAGCTGAGCGCGCTCTGCAAGCACCTGATTTCGAAGGGTACCCAGCTTGTAACGGTGCAGTGTTATCTCTTGCTGGATCTTGGTATCGCGTCGAGCAGTGATGCATTGCAACATTGCGAGAAAATCGGGGTGGGTCGCATTCGGCAAACTGAGCTGTTCCAGTTCGGTCTCTGCTGAAGCCAAGCGTTCGCTGTGCATTNNCTGGTACATCATCAGTGACAATGCACATGGTAGGAGGCGTGCGACTTACTTGGTGCGGAAAGTTTGGAACTGCTCGACAATGGCTGTAAAAGCTTCAGTGGCACGCTTCCTCGTCTCGTCATCACCATCGTTCGGCTCGTCAGCGTCGTACTCCTCAAGCTCATTCCCGATGGTTTGAGCGGCAGGGGAAATGTCGTGAATGGCTTTGGATTTTTGTTTTGCTCTCTTCAAGCGAGCAGCCTTCATGGGCGAGATGTAAGGATTCTCGTCGACTTCGTCGTTGGGCTCTGGTGTTTCTTGTCGACTTTCGGGGAGCTGGTCGATATGATTGCTGTGACTGAGAGCCAGGGCTTCCTCGGAGTCGGAATGCTCAGAGAGAGGGCTGTCGGCGTCGCTGATGGGACTCGGTCTTTTGCGCTTTCTGCCTGCGATGGCTGCGGGAGAGGCTGGGAACGGGAGTTCAGCACCGGTATCTGTTACGGAGGCAGTGTTCGTACCTAGGCGAGCTTGTGTGGGTGAGGGCGACTGGGGTGGAGGAGCAGGCGAGGAGGCAGGCTCAGAACGGACTTCTTGTTGGATTAGTTTTGTCGGAGAGGGGATCCATGATTTGATGGGAGAGCGTTCGAGACGTTCGGTCTCTGCTTCGGAGTCTCGGTCGTTGTTGTCTCTCTGGTCTTGATCGTCGAACTCGGCGTCATAGTCGCTCAGACTGCTGCTCCCGTCGCTTTGGTCGATTTGGTCTATTTGGTCGGGCTGTTGGGTGGACTGGAGCTGTAGCGGGATCGGATCGATGGTCGAAGGAATGGCAGTCCTCGAGGTGGTACTGAGGGGAGAAATAGAGGGAGTATCCATTCTGCATTCGCGCCGTCGCGGGCAGCAGAAGCCTTGGTCGGTCGTCGAAGAGGCAGAGCAAGGGCAGCTAGGCGACGTGGACGGACGAGTGCGCGTGGACGAGGACAAGAGCAAGAGGCTGCACGCGGCGGTGTGTGAAAAGATCGAGCAATGGAGGGGAGCAATGGGTAGAGGGAGAGTTCGCTGCTCGTCACCACGAGGGAAGCGCTTGGCCAAGGGCTCCATTTGAGCCAGTCTTATCGATAAGCCGCGCCTTGAGAGAGAAAGCCCCCAGGCCCCGGCAATAGCAAACTTTCAACCCCGAGCCGCCGATCCATTGCAACTTTTCTTTCCACCATTCACTCCCACCACAGCAATGGCGCATTCAAAGGACAAGAAGGACAAGTCGCAGAAGAAGGACAAGGTCGAGAAGAAAGGCCAGCAGTCCGAAAAGTCCCAGAAGGCTTCTGCTCTCGCAGCCGCTGAAAAATTGGATCCTACCATTTCCAGCCTGTTCGCCAACTCTGTACGTGTCGCAGCCAGATCGCATACAATATGTCGTAATATTCTGACTCCTTTAGNNTTCGGTGCCGCCAAACCTATCTATACCGAAATCCCAACTCAATCTGCCAGAGCCACAAAGAAGGGAGAGTCCGAAGACGAAGACGAGGGAGACGACAACGATGAGGAACTATCAGAACTCGACGATGATGAGCTAGACGCTGTTGACGCCGACGATGACGAAGAGGTTGAAGAAGAAGACGACAGCGATGTTGAGGTCCCTGATGTCAAGGAAGCCGAAGCTGCTGCCCAAGCCGCCCTTGAGAGCAACAACCGCAAGAGAAAGAGAAAGGACAAGCAGCCCGAACTAGAAGATGTGTACATGGACAAGCTCGGTCGCGAAGAGGAGAAGGCTCTCGCAAAAGCAAAGGAGGACCGCGTATCTAAGCGTCAAAGGACGGAGAAGAAGGCAAAGAAGGACTCTGACGACAGCGACAGCGAGGACGAAGACTCGGATGCCGCCGAGGGCGCCGATGCCATGGAAATGTCACCACCCCCGTTGCACGAGACCCTGGAACCTGACAACGACTCGGATTTGGTAAAAGCACAGCGTACCGTCTTCCTGGGTAACGTATCCGCCGAAGCAATCACCTCGAAGACGGCAAAGAAGGCGCTGATGCGCCATCTCGAGTCCTTCTTTGAGGATATCGCCGACCCCGAGAAGGGACAGCCAGCACACAGCGTTGAGTCACTTCGTTTCCGCTCGACTGCCTACGCCAGTGCCATTCCCAAGAAGGCCGCGTTTGCGAAGAAGGAGATTATGGTCGAGACAACAAAGTCCACAAACGCATATGCCGTCTACTCATCGAACGCCCTGGCCCGTGAGGCCGCTCGCCGCCTGAACGGAACTGTCGTCCTGGACCGCCATCTGCGTGTCGACGAGGTTGCCCATCCTGCAAAGACCGAGCCTAGACGATGCGTCTTCGTCGGCAACCTTGGCTTTGTCGATGATGAGAGCAACATCGACAAGGCCAACGCTGAAGAGGGCAAGGGCACACGAAAGGGCAACAAGACCCCCAGCGACGTCGAGGAAGGTCTGTGGCGCACATTCTCCACTTGCGGCAAGGTCGAGAGTGTTCGTGTGCCCCGTGATCCTCAGACCAGAGTAGGAAAGGGTTTCGCATACGTGCAATTTACTGTAAGTTATTTCAACAACCCAGCCTCTGTATCCAGTACACTGACAACACAACAGGAAGAAAACGCCGTCGAGGCCGCTCTCCTTCTGAACGAGAAAAAGTTCCCTCCCATGCTCCCTCGCAAACTTCGCGTCACCCGCGCAAAGACGATCAAGCGTAACGTCAAGCCCGGCAGCAACGCCGTCAAGGCACCCGGTGCCACCAACAAGGGCATCTACAACCCCAAAGCCGACCCCGTCATGCAATCCAACATGGGTCGTGCCGGCAAACTTCTCGGCCGCGCCGCAGCCGCTCAGGTTCAGAAGGGCAAGCCGATAGGAGCAACACCTCAGGGCTTCAAAACACCCGAGAGCTTCATCTTTGAGGGACACAGAGCTAAGGCTGGGTCTGGTAAGAGTGGGCTCAAGCTTGGTGGTTCTGGAAAGAAGAAGGGTAAGCCGAGAACCAGGAGCAGTAACAGAGCTGCTGCTTGGAAGGCTGGTGGTGGCAAGAAGAGGGAGTAGACTGTTGTGCATTTTGATTGTTACCCCCTGAAATATTATACCCTTTCGAATCATTTATTGGTTCCTACTCTTGCGGTTTCTTGATTGTGCAAAAGAGGTATCCGTATTGACTTAATCATATCTCGACCACCTGCGGCATATTCTTCAGCTCGCCAGTGTTGATGTACATGGCACTGGCATTAACCATCCTCGTCACCCTACCCTCACCACCCCAGATGCGGTCCCAAACAACATTACCCACGCCATGCCAGACCACCTTGACCACATCCATCCACAACCACAGATCCACCATACCTCTCGTCAAGCCGTCCGGTCTACTGCAGCCATCCTCAAAAGCCTTCTGAGCATCATCCCAATACACGATTTGCTTGCCTCTCCCAGCATGCACATGCCCAAACACATTCAACCGTGGCTTGACACGCCAGAGCTCAGACAGCAAGTGCTCACACCCCAAGCCATAGAGATCCATATGGTGTTTCGGCGGCGTGTGCGTGACCAAGACATCAACCCCAGCCGGCACGGTATCAAACCACGCATCCTGCCCTCTAGGATACTGAAACGCAAACTCCTCATCCCCACAAGCAGGAATCTGGGGCGCTCCATAAATCTTCAGTTTCCGATTCCGATGAGATGGCAATGTTAGGGTTGCGGTTGAGTGCTGGAGATATTGTATATTTCCCCAATCTAGACTTACGCCATCTACATCTTCGGCAGGTAGAGTTTTGCGTGATCTGGGATCGAGGTAGGTGTCGTGGTTTCCTGCAATGACGACTTTGTGCGTGTGAGGTAGAGAGTTTAGCCAATCTAGTTGGGCTTGGAGTTCTTTGGGTGTGCCGGCTTGTGTGAGGTCGCCTGCGTGAATCAAAACATCGCCGTCTGGAACCGTGGCGGGGATCTGGCAATGAGTATCTGATAGACAGACTACTCTGATGGGAAGCAAGTTCTGTGGTAGCGAAGGCGAAGAGCGGAAGATGGAGATCAAGCGGTGTAGTGTCCGGAGGAGGAACTTTGGTGGAGAGATTAGGAAGAGGTAGAGAAGTGATGGTGGCTCAAAGGGTGAAGGAGGCGCGAAAGGAGAGAACATGTTCGGTGTCTGTTATCGAGTCATGCCAGAGAGAAAGTTATCCTTTGAGAGTCGGAACGAGTATGATGTTTTTCGAATGTTCAGAGTTGAGTTGGCGATGGTAGGACCGGATGCATGTGAAGGTCTTGGTAATGAAGCCTCGATCTATACCGTACATTGACCGAGGCTATAAGAAACCTCTTGGAAGGAACACATACGACAACTCACCCTATAATCTCACACCAATTCCCTCGAGTACCACAATCAAACACGTTATGCAGCAAAGTCTACACCAAAGAGTAGAGGCGACAGACAGTCAGGGGGGAGTCTGTGTAGCTAGGGGCCTATCTACTGGTCGAGGCTGCATGTGAAACGGCCTCGTTGGTGACGTAGGGCGACGCAGCTCGCGATCAAGTTTCCAGCCATGAGCTCGTTCAAGTCATTGTATCGACCTCGCCCAGCTTGACATTCTCCTACCAACACCTGAGAAGTCATCAATCGCTGTAAAAGACAGCACTCAGACAATATGGCAAGCTCACCGGCGGTGTCCATGTCTGCTATATTCAAGGACAACGATAAGGGCACCAAGACAAACATGGAGACTGACTATGTCATTGTCTTTCGCTTTGCGACTACCAGTATGTCTCTACATTGATTCATATATAGAAAGCTCTAATCATCTTGTGTAGGTAAAGCTGAAGCAGGAAAGAAGTTCGCTCTCCTGGTGGAGAGGCTCGCCAAAGTCGGATTGGCTACTGAAGTCCGCAACGGAGACAACCACTCTTTGTTGATCTTTGTCAAGGTCGCCAGCGAAGAACACGTCAATGCTGAAGTATACCGCTCCAGAGTCAAGGACTGGATCCATGGGGTCAGATCAGCAGCACCGCAAAAGGAGACCAAAAAGGCCATCGAGGAGGAACCGCTTCACGAAGCCGAACGCTACCGCATCATCTACCGCATGATCACCAACTCGGAAGAAGAGGGCGGTGCTGGCATTACCCCCAAGGAGGGAGAGTGGAAGAATGTCGAATCCATCTTTGCCCTGCACGACTACGCCTACAACAAAGAGTGGATCAAGAGATGGACCAAGAAATACCTCCTGGAGCCCGAGGATCTCGACGAGATCAGAAACAGACTGGGTGAGAAGATTGCCTTCTACTTTGCCTTCACCCAGTCTTACTTCACCTTCCTCGTCTTTCCCGCTGCCTTCGGAGCCACTGCCTGGCTACTCTTGGGCAAGTTCTCGCCCGTCTATGCTATCGTCAGCACCTTATGGTGCATCGTCTTTGTCGAGTTCTGGAAGCACCAAGAGGTCGAGCTTGGTGTAAGATGGGGTGTCCGTGGTGTTTCCAACATTCAGACCAAGCGCAGACACTTTGAGCACGAGCACGAAGGCACAGATCCCATCACTGGTGAGAAGATGCAAATCTTCCCTGCCACCAAGCGCCTACAACGTCAGCTGCTCCAAGTTCCTTTCGCCATCGCCGCAGCTACTGTACTCGGCAGCTTGATCGCGACTTGCTTCGGCATCGAGATCTTCATCTCCGAGATCTACAGCGGGCCTCTGAAGTCTGTCCTGGTCTTCCTTCCTACCATCATTCTGACCACAGTCATGCCCGTCTTGAACGGTATTCTCACCACTTTTGCTGAGCGTCTGACCAAATTCGAGAATTACGAGACAGACGATGCCTACGAGTATGCCATGACCCAGAAAATCTTTGTCCTGAACTTCATCACCTCTTACCTACCCGTCTTCTTGACTGCTTTCGTCTACGTACCTTTTGGCAGCGTCGTAGTTCCCTTCCTCGACGTCTTCAGTCTAACTGCTAGACCTTTCGCCCAGAACGAGAAGCAGCTACAAGCACCCCAAGCTGGCTCATTCGTCATCAACCCTGATCGTCTACGCAAGCAGATCATCTACTTCACCGTTACTGCTCAAATCGTCAATCTTGGTATGGAAATTGTCGTACCTTACCTCAAGCGTCAGGGCTTCACCAAGTACAAGGAGATGCAGAGTGAGCGTGCCGCAAAGAACGGGCGCCCCGTTGCTGCCCCTGTTGAGAGCGACAACCCCGATGAGGCTGCCTTCCTGACCCGTGTTCGTCGCGAAGCTGAGCTCGACGTCTACAATGTCACATCTGACCTTCGCGAGATGGTGGTCCAATTCGGCTACTTGGCACTCTTCAGCACCGTCTGGCCCTTGACCGCTGTTTCCTTCCTCGCAAACAACTGGCTCGAGCTCCGTGCCGACGCCGTCAAGATCTGCATCGAGATGCAACGCCCCATCCCTGAGCGCGCCGACACCATCGGCCCTTGGCTCGACTCCCTGGCCTTCCTCTCCTGGCTCGGCAGCATCACCACTGCCGCCCTCGTCTACCTCTTCAGCAACGACGGCCTCGGCCCCGACGGCACACCCAAGAACATCCGCGGCTGGGCCCTCCTCCTCACAATCTTCTTCGCCGAACACAGCTACCTCCTCATCCGCTGGGCCGTCCACCTCGGCATCAGCAAGATCGACTCTCCGGGCCGTCAAAAGGAACGTCGCGACCGCTACTTGGTCCGCCAACGCTATTTCTCAGAGTCCATCTCCGAGAGCCAGAAGTTGCCCGCCGTCGGCAAGTTTGGCGAAAAGATTACTAGAGAGAGTCTTGAGGAGGAGGCTCGCGCGAGCAGTCTGAAGAGTTCGAGGCTCGAGGATAGGTTCTGGGCTAGGCAGAGGAATTGGCATGAGACTGCTCAGGTGGGTGCTGGCTTGATTGACAAAGCTGCGCCGACTCCAGAGGTCAAGAAGATGCAGTAATCACCTGGTTCACACAAAGAGCTGTTGGGAACGCGTAGACAGATGAGAACGAGTTGGGGATGGGAGAAAGAGAGAGAACGAGAGAAAGAGAGGGAAGATTACGAGTTTTGACGTTTTTTTTTTACCTATATTCACATTAGCCCGACAAGAATAAGCATGATCTTATGATTGTTATATCCTTCAAGTCCATTTACATAGATTGCTCGAAGAACACGAGCATTCATCCCATATGCCCAGAGAGCTAGCGTGCCTCACCTGAATGGACTTGGGAGAAAAGATTACACATCAAAACCCTACATCGCAAACACGACAAACAAAACATCACTCCCACCACCTCTCATCCAACCCCTCCAAAAACTCCACCTTGACGCCAAAGAAACTCTTCCACACATCAACCTCCAACCTCCACGGCCGGGTCGTGAGCGCAAAATACGCAATCGTGGAGTAATTCCTACACATTTCGCTATTCTTGCCCACGACGAGTATCTTGTCACCTTTGAGGAAGACCTTGCCCTCGATGGTTTTTTCGTACTCGTTGAGGCGCAAGCGCAGAGCGTGATGGATGCTCCACTCGCTGAAGGGCATGTCTTTGGGGACGAATTTCCACTCCCAGGTGCGGCCAATGTCGTCGGCGAAGGAGGTGCCGTCGCGGTTGTCGTAGCCGAGCATCAGGGGCCAAAAGTGTGGGGCGGACCAGATGCGCATGAAGGAGAAAAAANNGGCGTCTGGGTTTTTGGCTGCGTAGTCGCGTGCCGTGTCGAGGAGTGGTTTGACCTTGAATGGGTCTTGCATTGGGCGGCGTGGCTTCATCTCTTGTGCGTCTTCGCGGAAGTCAAAGTATAGCTCTGGCTTGTCAGGTCTGGTGGGTTCTTCGATGACTATGGCGCAGCCAGAGTACTCGGGCTTGTAGCGGGGTGCCAGCAAACCATGTCGGTAGAGATGGGCTATGGTGGGTCTGGTGATGAACTTCCAATCCTGCGGATACTTGTCAGAAGCCCAGAGGAATGCTCCTTGCCCGGACTCCATCACCTCGTGTCGGACATTGTCCCAATCCTTCCACTGATCATCGCCTCGGATGCGGTTCGAGTGCGAGGAGCGAACGTCGGGGATCATCTTCGCGCGGGCTTGCTGGTCAAAGAGAGTTGATTCGTCCCAAGGCCGTCCTTCCTCAGAGGCGAAGAAGGGGTTGTTTGGCTGGAAGAAACATGTCATTACGGCGTTAGCGTATGTCATGTCGCGCTTGACCCTGCGGTGCACATCTGGATCAACCTCGAGAAGCAGCATGAGCACGAATTGACGCTCGAGCATGTTCGGTGCCCAAGGACCTTTGGTCCCCTTGGCGAAGAAGTCGACGTATGCTTTCAAGATCTTCTGCGTCTCTGCGTACTTCTCTTGGGCTCCGGGTTCAAGGTCAGCCTTGTGCCAGGCTTCCTTGAAACTGCTAGCCCTGGTTCGATCTATGAAAAGCTCCCACTGTTGTTTCATGTCTTCAATCTCCTCTGCTGAGGACATTGGCCCAGGAGGCAATCTGGGTATACGATGTCCAACAGCTTTGTTTTCGCGAAGGCTGGAAAGTGATGGATCCTCCCAAAGCTCCAGTGCCATGACCATGTCCTGCCATCTTGGCTCTTTGTCGTTGTGATCATCAACCCAGCGGCCTCGAATGGTCACGCCGGCTGCTTCTGAGAGTTCTTCAATGACACCTTCAGCATATTCTTCGTCAGACTCCCAATCGCTGCCATCATCCTCACCTTCAGAGACTTCTTGATATTCAGTATCGCTAAGCTCTTCATCGGTGTCGAGGTCGTTGATCCAGCGATTAAGATCCAGACCGTGGTGCTCGAAGTTGTGCATTTTGCCAGTCTGACTCGCAAGCACACCCTCATCACCGCCGTTGGACTCGGCATCGGCATCCGCCAACATCAGCTCATGACCTGAGTTTGCTGGTGTGAGGTCTGCAGCTTTCTTTGCGACTGCAATGATCTTGCTAGCCGTTTCAGGAACCTCTTCGTTGGTCCACAGACTGCGATCCCACGGGAACAGAACCTGGTCCTCCAACATGTCTTCTTGTTTGTACAACAGCTGAGGAGGCGCCTCTTCTCTGTGGCTCCCATCGGTGCCCCGTGAGAAGTATCTCATCCTGGTACTATCGCTGTGAATCCAGTCCCAGATACTCTTGCCCTTGCCCACTTCATCTGGACGAAGGTCTCTTGCACGGGAGAGATGCTCGTCACGGGTCAGTGTGCGCAAGACATGCTCGGCAGGCTTGTAGAAGTCCTTGGGGTCNTGTCACAATATTAGCATAATGACTCGTACAAGCCAACAGAAGATCGTACCTCTGAAACGCAGAGCTCTAATCAGAAGCTCTTGGATCGAATTGTATAGGGAAGAGTAATGTTCGCCACTCTCGATGTCCCAGACTACAATGTCGTAGTAATCCTTGAAGCCGAGATGCCACTTGCGGGAGCGATCGATCGTATCCCAAAATTCTTCGTCAATTTCCTTGACGGTCTTCCATTCGGCTCGACTTGCTCGTCCAACACCAGACTTGGTTCTGATGAGCCATTTGTGTTCATCAGGTGGCTCGACAATGACGTTACCAGTACGACCATCACGAACCATGATTGCCATCTTGTATGACTCCATAACAGCGTACTGGATCCAACGTCTGGTTACTGGATCATTGCGCTTCATGTGAGCACATACAAAGTTTCGAGTCTCGACAGCATGATGGGTCCTACGCTGCCCATGAGCACGAGATCCTGTTTGATGGTGCGATGTCATATGATGTGCTTGGTCCATCTGGTAGTAGGGGATGAAGCCGACCTGAAGCAACTGTTCGTGCGTGATACTTCTGATCCAAGATGCCCATTGAGCAGCGGGGAAGTAATGATTGCAGGTGAGAATATTAAGCTCAAAGAATTCATCCCAACTTCGAGCTAGGCTCACTGCCTGGAACAGAGAACAGTCTTTGGCGATGATTGAGAACTGCAGCCATCCACCTCTAGACATGGCTTTCTCGCTGGCTNNGTAAAACGTCAGGAATACTCTTTGGATATGGCTTCTCGAGCACTTACGATAGTTGTAGATGAATCGGCCGCAAACCTTGACACGTATCTTCTTGATACGATATTGTTGCTGATCATCAACATCGCCAAAATCGACGAAAGTCGTAGAATCCATATTATCCGCCATGGTTTTTTCTCGCTTCTCTTTGAGCTCCTTCTCGCGCTTCGTCTTCACGTTCTTGACAGGGTACATGGGCCTCGAAGTGAACTTTGTACGTCCGGCAGGTGCCTTGGTGCTTGCAGCAGAAACGTTGTCATCGTCCTCCGGCTCGTCGTCTTCACGACCGAGATCAGCACACGCGTCACGTAGTTGTTGCAACCCAGGCTGCTCCATCTTCAGGCACAGGTCTCTGAACTCTGCATTAGTCACGGAGGGATCGGCCAGGAACTCTTCAACATTCTCAGCTCGCAAGGCGGCCGGCAGCAGACTGGCATAACCAAGTAACAATCGACAAAACAGCAACTGTTTGATGTCGGGGATCTGCTTCATCAAGGTATCAACTTCATCGTCGGCAAGAGGAAAGGTCTTGTCCGTGAGAAAGCGTGTCTTTGCGGGATCCTCGGGATCGAAGGTCTGTAGCACACCGTTCATCGTCTGACCTTCGCGCAGGCGGGTGCGAACTTCTTCCGGAGTCTCGATGTGGACTTCACCAAGCTTTGCTCCGGTGTTTTGTAGTGCTGTTCTGATAGCCAAAGGCAACGTCGATTTGTCCTCCAGTGCCTTTGCCTTTTGGCGAGCTTTCTTCTTGGCATTCTTAGACTTGTTCGTTTCCACGAGTGCCTGAGAGGTGATAGAATCCTTGTCGGGAGACTGCTTGTCAGTAGCTTCGGGGGTCTCATTTTCTTTCTTGGAGCTTGAAGCACCTACGGTGGCATCCTTCGGAGACGTTGGCTCGTCGGATGAGACGGCAATGGGCTCTGCGAGCCACAAAAAGCGTCGAATAAGGTCGATGTAGCTTCCGCGTTCGTCCTCGACGACGTCCTCGATAGGATCCCATTCTTCGCCGCCTTCTTCGGCGGTGAGTTCGGCGTCAAACTTGGTTCGTTCCTCCCAGACCTTGTCGAGGTACTCGACTTGTCTCTGTTCGTCCTCTTTCTGCCTCAGCTTGTCCATGCGAGCGGATACATCCTTCCAGTGACGCTTGAACAGGGCGGCTTCTTGCTTGATCTTCTTCTTTTCGGCATCGCGTTCCTTCTCTTCATCATCCTCGAGGTTGCGGACCCAGCCGAACCACTGTTGCTGTTTGTACAAGACTTCAGCAGTCCGTCTTTCGAGTCTCTCAAGAGCACGACCAGTATTGTGCTTTTCGCTAATGAGATGGTCCAGGTAGTGTTGGTGGCCGTAGTCGAGCTCGAGAGCATAGAAACGAGAGTGATGGAGTTTACGGGCACGGATGCAACGATCGAGCAAGCCATTCTGCTTGAAGAGGAAGGCGTGCAGGGTCTTGAGAGTTTCCTCATCATCTATGTCGTCAAAGGTAGTCTTGTGCAGTGGGCAATCGGCAAGGTAGGAAGGAGGGTCTTTCTGCAAAGCATCTAATTGGGCACCTCTACGCTTGTAGCCCTTGTACAANACCTACAACGTGTCAATCCGCGCGTTGGTCTCGAGGAACGACATGCAGTGCTTACTGTAGACCTGTCTCGCGTGGAAGGAGCAGAACAGGCCATTGACATTGGTCGCTTCCTCATTGCAGCGCCTTTCGTCCGACACGTACAGCGCCTGACACCGAGGTGCCATCGCGACGGATGCTGGGACTACAAGTCGAGATGTGTGTTGAAGATTGGTGGACGATCAGACACGAGGGTAACGCGCCTCCGCTTTTCACATGGCACCCGCATGTCCGAAGCGCTTGGTCTTGCAAGTCTTGCTGACTTGTATTCCAAACCAACTCTCACTGCCTCACCGACCAGTCGCTCACATTCAAGCTGTCCTAGAGCTCAGATGCTCCCACTCTTAGATCCTTTCGTTTATGCGACTTGGGGTAGGATGCATAGGTATACAATTGGACTGCCTAAAGCCACTCTCCGGAGTTAAGGTTCGCACTTTTCTTTGGTCCGGAGCTGGCGGATCCCATTATTCCTCCATTGCCGCCTTGTTGTACAGTATATATCGAGGCAGGTGGCCTGCTGTTGGCTGTGATGCTATCCACACAGCGATTGTGCAATCCTTCAATTGCCCAAAAGATTGTCAAGCACCAACAAAGCTTGTTTCACAGCAGTGCTAGAATGTCGTCGTCAACAACTTCGTCCGCTCTGTACGCAACTGTCTCGTCGTCTTCACGAGCCACCGGTGCCGTGCCCAAAGACACGGACAAATTGCGCCATCACAACAAGAATGGAAAGGGTTTCATCAACCCTTGGGATTCTTATGTCGACAGGACAGCCACGCAGATCATTTCGGCCTTGATCTGGTACACATGCCCACCTTGTCATCACCCGTCGCCGCTGACCACCCTCCTTTAGGNNCGGAAACTCTCGGGCAAATCAAAGACCCCCGACACAACTCCACCCACCGTACCCGTACAAAAGCCACAATTCCTGCCGACGCGCGAGACCAAGACACTACGAGCAACATGGCTGGGTCACGCCTGTTACTATGTCGAGTTCCCTGGTGGCTTGAGAGTCCTCTTCGATCCCGTCTTTGAGCCACGATGCAGTCCCTTCAGCTTCATGGGCCCGAAAAGATACACGCCGTGCCCCGTCGATGTTGCCGACATTCCTATCATCGATGCAGTCGTCATCTCCCACAGTCACTACGACCATCTCTCTTATCCTACCATCCTCAAGATCAAAGAGAAGCATCCGAATGTTCATTTCTGGGCCCCGTTGGGCAACAAGGCCTGGTTCACCAAGTGCGGTATCGAGAACATGACCGAGCTGGACTGGTGGGAGTCGCGAGACTTTACTTTGTCGGCGAGGAAGCAAGACGCAGAAACCACACACACTGAGACCGGCTCAACCGTGAACGCAGGAGGCGCTGAAGACATCAAAGCTGTTATTGGCTGCTTGCCTTGCCAACACACAAGTGCTCGTACCCCCTTCGACAAATCACATACGCTGTGGGGTTCGTGGAGTGTTGAAAGCGGCGGCAAGAAGATCTGGTTTGGTGGAGACACCGGATATCGCTCCGTGCCTGACCTACCCGAGGAAGAGAACGACTATGACGAGAAGCACACTTACCCGACATGTCCTGCTTTCAAGGAGATTGGAGAGCTTAGAGGTCCTTTCGACTTGGGCTTGATTCCGATCGGAGCATATGACCCTCGTTTCATCATGTCTCCCATGCACGCCAATCCTTTCGACAGTGTCAACATCTTTATCGACACACAGTGCAAGAAAGCGCTTGGTATCCATTGGGGTAAGATTCGATAATGACATTTGGCAGACTAGATTACTGACATGCCACAGNGCACATGGGTGCTGACTGAAGAAGATGTTCTGGAGCCTCCGAGGGTACTCAAGCAAGCCATGGTCTGGAAAAACTTGCCCGAAACAGGCGTCTTCGATACTTGCGACATTGGCGAGAGCCGTGAATACTGATAGATATAGTTCTTTGCACATCTCAGCAAGGTGTTTGTCTTCGTTTGTTGTATATATACATGTCAAGTTATAGACTGACTGATCTGGGCTCTTCAGACCCTTTTACCATTCTGACCCAACTTTTAGTGAGATACTTTACCATTCGCTCGCCAAATATCAAAGTACAAATCCGAGGTGATCAAATACCTTCAAGTCCAGGTTTGTCGTTGGTGTTGTGGGTGGTCAGTACTCGACCAGAGGAAATTGCTTCATGCGACCTCCTTCCCACCGCACCGACCCACTCGTTTCACCAACCTTTATATACGATGTTTCCTCCGTCTCCTTCAACAAGCCAAAAAGCCGTGGTGGTGCAGCGGTCAGCACGCCCGATCCGGTAACCTAAGTCCCTACACTCGCTTACCTAAGTCCCTAATACTCTCTCTCTCGAGGATCGGGAGATCGCAGGTTCGATCCCTGCTCATGGTGCTTGTATTAATTTTTTGTACGTCCCATCATGCGAGGTAGGAGAGCTGTGAAGTTTTCTTTGTTATGGTCGCATGAGCTGCTAGCACACGTCCCAAGTACCTGTTTCTCCCCCATCTCATTTTCCGTCTGTCACCCCTACGTCCCTTTTGCTCGTCACGCTGCACATGGACTCAGAGAAGCATGATTAGTAAGGATAAATTTCAAAGGAATATATATCCTTTGCAAGGACTTTCTGGAGAGAACACCTATATTCCGCGACCTTTTCTACAAGGACGAGAAAGAAAGAACAAAGGAGAATATTCGAAACGAGAGACTACATCAAGGCGACACACCTCGAATTACACATTACAGAATGCTCCCTTTTCACCAAACACCCATGATACGGCTAACCAAAAGCAAAAGCCTAGAGGCCGGCAAAGAACACGCCCAAAGCACCGATGCCCATAACCATGGAGCCCAGAGCGAAACTCTGGACAGCACCGCCAGTGCTGGGAGTGAGAGTAGCGGTCGGTGCGGGAGGAGTGTAATCGCCAGTCGTGGCGGTGTAGTCGATCATCGCGCTGCCGGTGCCCATGGAAGGGGCGGTGGTGACAGGGCTGACGGAATCAGTGGTGATGCCAGCAGTGGCCGCGACAGAAGAGATGGATGAAGCGACCGAGGCGGCAGAGGTTGCGGCGTCAGAGGCAGAAGACGCAACGTCAGCTGCTGAAGCGGCTGCTTCGGGGCAGATCTGGGCAGTAACTGCGAGAGCNCTCTGTTTTTGCTTGAATCAGTTCCTGACCTCTTTGTCTTTTGGGGCAATGGGATTGATGGTGAGTAACTTACTGGCTAGATCGGCTTCACTGCATTGGGCCTTGACGGCTGATTGCAGGTCCGAGATGAGCTTCTGGTTGCCGCAGATACAGTCTGAGTCTGTGACTTGACAGCCAGAGGCAGAGATGCCAGAGACCAAGGGACCAGTTGCGCAAGCAGGAATCTGAGCAATGATGCTGGCGTCAATAGCAGCGTGTCCCTTGGACGACAAGNNGCCGGCGAAGAAAAAGGTTGATGAACGCATAACCGTACTCTATTGACTTCGATCACAGAAACGGGAGAATGTTCGAAGAGAGAAGTTCTCCTCTAGGTTCAGAATCAAAAACCTAAGGAGTGGTGTGAAGGAAGCTAAGTTGTGCCTTGCTCGCCTTTTTTCTTTTCTATTTCTCTTTTGCCTTCTATTGTTGCTTTCATCCACACTTTGGACCCAGAATTTCGGGACACCTGCATACCTCGTCACTTGTTTGTTTTCATCGACTGCTGATCTTGGCTCTTTCCTGTCCCAGCTCTTTTGCTTACCATGTTGTGCTGAACCGCAAGGAATGTAGACGTCCTCCCTCGACGCTACGTAGCCATTTCACAATCTCGAAAGTTGCTACTGCAACCGGTATGAGAGACGGGGCTGCAGCATCAAGCACAAAGGAATGCAAATGACAGTCTGCCGTCCTGCCACCCCCAAAACTTCTTCCAAACGTCAGTGGTGATGGTTTAGGTCGAGTGATTTCTTTGTCTTGATGCCGCTTTCATAAAGAAACACGGCACGAGGAAAGTGTCTCGGTGCCGTCTGCTCGGCCCGTATGATAGCATTGATAGCGGGACGATGAAGAGCAGCAAAGAAAATACATCCCGTGTGTTTGGTTTCGGGCAAGTGCGATGATGGCATGGGAAGGAAATGCTCTTGGAGGGACGGGATAGGGAAAAAAAAGTGAAAGCAGTCAAGGGTGCTGATGTCTTCTGATCGTTCTTTCTTCCTTCTTCTTCATCACTCTCTTCCTCGACCTTCGATCAAAGATAGGAAAAACATCAACCATGGTCCCCTTCCTCTACCCACGCAAAGGCAATAAACATCCACTTCCACACTCCCAAGCCTTCTCACACTCGCCAAAACACACACGCCATCACTCCTCCCCTTCTGAACCACACTCTCAAACCACAGAAGAAGCATTTACCCACCCCGGCGCTCCCCAACACCTAGAACTCTACACCGCATCGCTCCACCGCTGTACCCTCTGCCAACTCCACACCTCTTTCCCTACAGTGCCTCACCGTCTCTCCCGCCATAGATCTTCATACACAACACTCGGCCACACACCAACTATAGTATCGCCTTTATATCCCACAAAATCTTCACTGTATAATTGCAGCATCGTGACTCCGAGACCGGGGAGTGATGAGAGTGTGGAGGAGGTGATGGGTGATGTGGGAGAAACACCTTGCAATACGCCAAAGAGCAGGGGTTTGAGAAGGAGGAGTACGATTGTTGCGGCAAAGGGTGGGGCAAGAGCTAAAGATGAGTGCTCTGATGAGGGAGAAGTACAGGCGAAATCGAGACCGGTGGAGTTGATCAGCAGTTTGAGTTGTGCTGGTTGATGCAACTGTTTTCTCTTCTTTTTCTTTCTTGTTAGTGGTTATCTGTGTTCTGCCAATGGTAATCTTGTGGATGGATGCTGGACTTCATATTTGCTCATCTCTAAATGATACTCTGATGCTCAAGACTAGTATGTTTTTTTATTAGTGCTACATCGGTCTACACTGTTTGTGGGAGACCTCAAGTGTCTTTAGAAGCAGTAAGACCAGTGACGATGGAAGTTTTCTCTGCAACATCAGATCAGGTTATTGTACATAGTGGAAACATACCTTCGTTTTCGTTACATTTTACATGAGACAGCAACATCATACAATCTTTTGGGTAGCAATGAGATATCAAATTAGAACAACAACAAATGCTTGCTTGCGGCATGTCCTGCCTTTCCATTTGTGACTGAGAACTAATTCCAACCGATCACTTCGCCAGAGTAAAAGGAAATATCGACATGTCCCCGTCATAATCCACAACCATCTCAGCTTTTGCCATATGCTTAAGCACTGCCGTTGGTGGCAGGCTGCGCAGGAGCAGTCAGGATGCTGAATTGACCACCACCAGCTGCGTAGTTGAGCATCTTGCCACGAGTTGCAGTATTGTCGATCTTGGTAGCGACCATAACATCCTCATCTGTGCCTTGGCCAGTTTGGTAGTTTGAAGAGAAGCCCCATGAGTAGGCGTGTCCCTCTTCAGTGATGGCAAACGATTGGTCTGATGCAGCCGTGGCGAAAACAACCTTGCCTTGGATGCTCTTGACAGCAGTGGGGTTCTTGAGGATACGAGGGTTTCCACGCTCGTCCTTGATCAAATCGTCTGCAGGCAAGTCTGCAGTGGGGATACCACATTGACCACCATCGAGACGACCCCAAACCAGGCACTCGCCAGCGCCGGTCACAGCAATGCTGTGGTGGCCACCACCCTTGATGCAGCTAACTTGTCTACCAGAGAGAGTCTCGACAACCTCAGGCTTGAGAACAACAGCATCATCTTCACCAGCATTGTCAGGCACACCGGTCTCACCAAAGTTGTTGAGACCCCACGCCCAGACGCGGTCCTTGTTGTCGATTGCAAAACTGTGGTAATCACCACACTGAATGTATTTGATGGCCTTCTTGGGGAGTCCAAACTCTCTTGGTACAAGACCTTGTGTCTTTGTGCGCTCGACAACGCGGCGACCGAGCTGGTTTTGTTGGCCTGAGCCCCAGGCGAAAACGGCACCATTCGCATCGAGTGCGAGGACGTGGTTGGCACCACAGCTAACGTGCTTGATCTTCTTGAGGCCGGCAATGAGCATGGGTGTGCGCTGAACGAGAACGTCTGCGGTGAAGCCAAAGATACCCTCGTTGCTTCTGAAGGTGCCCCAGCCCCAGACCTGGCCATCGTCGGTCAGAGCGAACGACGTCGAGTCGCCAGCAGCGACCTGGACGAAAGCAGTATCTTCAGGGAAGACGTCGGACGAGATGGCAGTAGGTGTGCTCTCCTTGGGGTTCATGCCCGAGTCGGCGTCGTCGTCGTCAGAGTCGGAATCTTCCTCGTCCTCAACATCGCGAAGACCACCCTCCCACGTTGTATCCCTTCCAAGAGCACCCTGGTCATTGACACCCCAGGTGAGGATCTTGTTGTCGTGAGTCAATGCCATGGCGTGCATGCCTCCAGCGACGATTTGCACAACACCGACCGAGTCGGCAGCCAAGTTGGCATTCAGACGTGGGCGCTTGACATCGATGGCCTTCTTGGACGTACCAAGACCCAACTCGCCAGAGGAACCTTCTCCGCAAACAAAGACATCCAGGCGCTGGGTGGGAGGCTCGTTGATGACGGGGCCTTTGGGGGCGACCTTGGCCTTTTTGGCGACGGCCGGCTCGGGAGTCGCGGTGGCCTTGCGCTTTCTGGTAGCCAGGGTTGCTTTTGCTGCAGCCGGAGCTTCTGTGTCAGACTTCTTTGGGCGGCCGGGCTTCCTCTTGGGGGCTTCTGCCATTGTTTTAGCCTGTCGATCGACCGAGACTTGTCGTACGTGGTGCAAGGCGTGTGACGCACCGTCTTCTGTCTTTGCTGCCTTTGCCTTCGTGTCGGCTGCCTTTGGTCTGCCACGTCCTCTGCCCGTCGTTGTGGTGGGTTTGGCCTCGGGCTCGGTCTCGTTCTTAGCAGTAACCTTTGCCTTTGTGTTGGCGGCTGCGCGCGTCGACGTCTTCTTTGCAGGCGCGTCGGCTTCGACGTCCTTGGTCTTCTTGATGTACTTGACACCAGCCACTAGACATAGTCAGCAAAACGCGTCTTTTCCATGGTTGCGCGAAGGAATGGATCCGATGGCTATGAGGAATGATTGCTGCGTGTCTTGGGGCAGGAGCTTACTTTTTTCACGATTTTATATGTATATCAGGTACTGATGTGGTTTGCGACCGTGACTGATGAGGTTGTAGAATGACAAGATAGACAGAGTGGTTGTAATGGGAGTCGAGGGAAAAACTTGGTGATGAAACGCGTCTCCAAAGTCGCAAGTTCTTGGAATCGAGAGCATTCGGGCCAAGCTTGCTTCGGCCGCCAACTCCCGAGAGTCTCCCGCCTATTCTTGTCACTTTCTCGAACCTCCTTCGTTCTTTCCCGGAGAATCACATCTCCTATCTTTAGCACTCCAACACACAGGTGAACAGCATACGCTGTCACCTTGCTTTCCAAGTCGCTGTTGCTCCCTTGAGCTCGCCGCCACTTCATTGATCGAGTACGCTCGAAGAATATGCAGCTGAAGCTCGTGTATTGCGTCAACCAACGTCACTGCCTGCAGCACGATCGTGCAGTCGTCGTGCATTCAAGAAGAAGGCAACGGCTACCCTTACATCTGCCTGTCTACGAGTATCCGTATCGTCATTGTCGGACTTCGACTATCTCCTGACCCCCGATCGAATATACCCATCTGATCTCGAATACCTGTCGTGCTGTGCGACTTCTTGCAGCAGCAAACATTGCTTTCCCCGCATTGTCGTCGGGCCCTCGGTTGCCGATCCTTCTATATCATCAACAGGTACTGTAGGTCTTTTCGAGTGAGTTACCTTCTCTTATCTACTTGAGTCTGCATTTTATATCTTTAAATTACATCTGTATCATGTCCAAGATGTCTGCGAATTCTGTGCCTTCGTTTGGTGAGCTGCCTATTGATAAGAAGGGACCATTTCTGAATGCCTGGGGTTTGTGAGTATCGACATCTTGCCATTTTTGTATTGACTAAACTGAACGATTCAGATATGGTGACGATGACCAGCTGGGCTTCTTGAACCGTCTCACCGACGACTTGGTGAAAGAAGCAGCCAAAGAGATACAGTCTGGCACAAGGTGATTATATCCTAGCGTTGCAACAGACCGCTTTATCAATCGATAGAATTTGACTAGCAAAACATCTCACTATCATGTATCACTCTCAGTGCCTGACTGGTTTGATAGAATCTCACTCAACTGGCCAATGGATGCTCAGAACGATATACCTTTCTTCGGCCGTCAGGTTTTCCACAAACATGTCTATCAGAAGCCACCTCGCGTCGTTAACGACGATGTGTGGACCTTCAACACACAGAGCAGTAGTCAANTGTACCATACTTCATGCTTTTTATATCAAGTACGACACATACTGAACTACTTAGGGGATGGCCTTCGACACTTTGCCTATCAAAAGGAAGCAAAGTTCTACAATGGAGTAACTTTGGATGATATACATGGGGATAATTCGACTATCAATGGCATCGGAGCCTGGAGTGAAAAGGGTATCATAGGTCGTGGTATCCTCCTCGACTACGAAGCTTGGCGAGAAGAACACAATCATCCACTCAAGGATGCATTCAAACCTGGTGTCATCACCTTATCCGAGCTGAAATCAGTCGCCGAGTGGGAAGGCGTAGAAATCAAGTTTGGCGATATCCTCATCATTCGTTCTGGATACATGGCTCAATACAACAAACGCTCTCGAGATGACCTCGAAGCCCTTGGCAAAATTATGCCGCCTACGTTCTTAGGCGTGGAACAGAGTACGGAGACGTTGAATTGGATCTGGGATAACTTCTCCGCGGTCGCTGGCGATCAACCATCATTCGAGTGCTGGCGTATGTGCTCTCAAACTTTCTCAGAATACTCTGTCTGTCCTTGACTAACACATCTCGCAGCATCTTCCCAGCCATACATGCTTCACGAAGTCCTTTTGGCGGGCTGGGGCTGTCCGATCGGCGAACTCTTCGACCTTGAAGCTTTGTCCATCCAATGCAGGAAGAGCAATAGATATAGCTTCTTTGTCGCTAGCGAGCCATGCAATGTTTGTGCACCTCCTTACCTCACAGAAGATAGCCGCTGACATCAGTATGTAAAGGTCCCTGGAGGAGTAGCAAGTCCGCCAAACATTATCGCCATTCAGTAGTGCTTCTCGCCAGTCTGACTTCAAATCGATATGGTTGCAGATGTCTGTATCCAGTAAGGAAATAGACGGTGTTGGATAACAAAGTCGAGATCATTTTCTGCACCGCCACGTCGATTTCTCCACTGCCAACTCCAGCTTCTCCTCAATTTGATACTAGTTTGCGGTTCTCTTTATACTCAATGCCATTCGACTACGCTTTACATAATCCTTGTCCTCTCATACACCATTCTCGACCTTCACCATGTGGACAAAGATCAAGACCCTACTCTGCTACGGCGAGGAGCATGAACAATCCGCTAACCCTTCAAGGTGATTATCCGACTCACTTTCGAGATCCGGGTCAATGTTGAGACTGCTCTCGTATGCACAAGAGCGTGAAGCGAAAAGTACACCATGACAAGGCACAATTCTTTCGAGGAGTAGCTAAAGAGAGCCGCTTAGATGTCAGCTCTTAGTGTGTAGTTGCCTTACTTCTTGGTAGAACTTATAAAGACAAGAATATCTCTATGATCTTGCAAAGTTTACAGCAGAGAAATCTACACGTCGAGGTTTTGTAGCTTTTATGGTGCCACTTCGCTTGTGAGCGTAGTCTTCAATTCAAATCAGTTATAGTTTTCTTGAGATTTGCATCGCCGACGGCGACATGGAGAACTTAAACCTTAGCCACTATTCTTTGCACGCTGTTATAAACTCATACTCCTAACCCTGTTCGCTTTGGAATACCAATTCGTCAGATCCGATGAGAAGCATGTTGTTTTTGTCGCATGAAACTGGTTGGGAGTACGACCCTGACATGCCGATGCCTGTGCTTGACAATCCATCAACTCCAAACCGATGCAAAGCACAGAAAAATGGAATCAGACGAGGTCGAAAGTACATATAGGTGGGCAAGCAATATCGTGGTACGCTTTGGTATGCAATGTAAGGTCGAGTAAACAGGCTATCGATATCCCCTCTATGCGTGAGCACCCTTCTGTTTGCACTTCTGACTCGCCTCATCTATTCCAAGCCAATGACACCGTCTACCAATTGCTTTTGGACTGTTGTACCCAACCAGTACTCTTTTCTTCTACCCAGATACTTTACAAAAACGCACACCATCCAATATACATTTGGCACAGGTTCCACGGATCCGTGGCTTGCTGAATCAACGCGCTGACATGGCCCTCCACACTCAAGGGCACAGTCTCTCCCCTGAGAAATCCTTTGAGTTTTCCACTGATCGAGTCTAGGACTTCCTGCGGTGTATCTGGTACTCCTGGTGTAGTCCTCTTCTTCTTGCCAATAAAATCGGTAGTGGGGTCGTGCAAGAACGTCTCCAAGATATTCATCAAGGTATCCTGATGTTGACGCAGCAAGCCCAGTGTCAGCTCGGCTGACTTGCGGAAAGGTCCTTCGTATCCATATGCTCCCATTGCCGCAATCATGTTGTGTGTCAGGCGGAAGGGGACAAGTTCTGGCTTCTCAAACGTGAGTCCCTTGTCGAACAGACAGTTGAAGTCGACGTGGAAGACACCACCGGTATCTTCCTGCAACAGTATGTTCTCTCCGTGTCGATCGCCAAGTCCAAGTACGTGTCCCACCATGGACATAACCGCAGCTGAGCGAGCGTATCTCAATCGAGCAGCGAACCACGAGTCAGGCTCAGGGAACATCTCCACGAACCACTCGTGAAGAATTGACGGGAACACCGACAAGACCTTCTCGGTGAAGATGTCCACGTTAGCTATGTTAGAGCTTGCCTCACTAAGGAACACTCGCAACTCGTTGTAATTGGGCTGGACACCCTTACGCTGATACAGCTTGAGAAGGATGTCGCGCAAAGGCTTGATACCTTCGACCCACTCGATAGTACCAGATTCTTCACTCAGTGGCGTCACGCCATACGTTTTGATGTAGAGACGACGTTTGCTTGACTCCGTGTCTCGTTTTAGTGCTCTGTTGATCATCGTGTTGAACTCCATCAGACGTTGATCCTTTCTCAGATCATCCTTTGGCTTGCACAAAAGTCCGTACTGTTTGCCGTCGGAACCTCTCACGGTCAACTTTCGTGGTCGTTGTAAGGAGTTGAGCACCAGAACTTCGTCACTGAAGCTTTGTATCGTAATGCGATCTTGTGCAAAAGCCACAAACTTGCGTATATGGAACGCGTCCTGAACGACTGGAGCATTGGCCGTCAAGGTGGATTCCAAGGGTATGACAAGAGGATTGGGTGCCAACTTGTGATTGAAGTTCAGGTCCTTGGACAAGCTGACGTTCGCCGACCGTGTTTCGATGTGTATTTCGCAAGCTTGTAGCAGACCGTCTGATAGCTTCTGACCATGCGTAATCATCATGCGCAAGTCCAGACCAGCTGATTCATTCTTGGGCCTATTCTTTGGATCTTTGAGCTTATTGATGATGGCCACGCCACGGCTTGCTCTGTCTGCTGCAGAAGCTTTGCAGACTGCCAGCAAGAACCAAAGTGCCTGACTAGGATGAGTCGAAACAATCTTCTGGATGATCATCGCCAAAACCTCGTAAACCTTAGGGTTCGGGTGAGTAATACGCGAGATCATCTGTGGTAGAGCGTTGTAGAAGATGTACGGAGGTATCCGATCGAAGTACTTTCTCATCTGCTTGTGAATCGCATCAAGCCAGTGAGAACGTTTGGTTGTCACATCAGCCTGATCGCTCTTGGTCCTCTGCATACAGTCCATACCAAGATCCAACCAGAGCGTGATGATCTTTGGGATTGTTTGGTACCAGTACTTTGACCCAAATGGCACAGATCGCAAGTAATTTTCGATGACTAGCTTGGTCAACTCTCCGGAGAGGAAGGGCTCGGACTGTTTGTGTACAGGAAGAGTTTTTCCGGCGTCCAGAAGCATGTTGTAGTGCTTGCCCAGGTAGTAGTGACCTTTCTCCCATCTGGAATAGTGTCTGGCGGCATATTGGTACTTGCTCGCAACCTTTGTTGCCTGCGTCTGTCCAGAGGCATCTAGCCATTTGGCGAGTAGCAGATGCGCCCTTGCAGAGAGCATGTTCTGCTTCTGCTGTGCTTCTTCAGGATTGCTGGTGTCCACCATCCTCTGGTCATAGGTTGCAAACGTATTGGACGCAATGGCGCCCTCAAGACTCTGAATGGCTTGTCTATGCTGGTCATCTTTCCAAAGTAGCCGAGCATGTTCAATCTTGGCCGCATCGTCTCCACAACTGAATGCATTGAGTATAGCGTTATGCGCCACAGCTGACACGTTAGTCTTTCGAGCAAGGCGAGCTGTCATGAGCCAGGAACTGCCGATACTGACGCTTGAGAAATCGACACTTGATAGTCGCATGACCGCACGACGAATACCGAGCAAGTACTGTTTGTCAGAGATGTATGATCCAACAACAGCCAATCTCTTGTCCATGACTGCAAGGATGGATGTAGCGGCCGTATCCTGAGCGGCAGGGACATCGATCGCTCCACTGAGTGCACCTATCTCATACACAATATGAAGTTTCAAGAGAACGTCATGGCAAGCTTGGAGCGAGCTTCCAGAGACAGAAGTAATGCCCTTGACTACAATGTTGCGGAGTTTGTTGACCTTGACTGACACTTCATCTTGGTTCCTCTCTTGCATGGCCAGAAGTACTCTGGCGACACCAACATTGAAGTCTGTCTGGGTTTCTTCCGAGAAACCAGCAAGAGAATCCTTGAGGGTGTCGAACCTATCTGTAGTCCAGCATGCCTCTGTGATATACGACAAGAGTGTGCCCCTGTCGCGCTGACCCGAGTTTGCATTGTAGAATGATGCATAACGCAAGACTTGGTCATACTGGCCAGATTCTTTGAGACAGCTCAGAAGATCGATTTGACGGCTTGCGTTGGAAGGCTCCTTGAATAGCTCAAATTCGTACCAGCTTTGTGCAGCCGACCACCTGCCTGTTCTTTGATGTTGAAAAGCCTGTTGCTCAGGACTGAGAATGTTGAGATGTGCCGAGATTCCATCAAGACCGTCGGGCTCATCAATCTGAGAGTATATCGAATGGAGTCGTTGGAACATCGCGTCGTGTTCTTTGGCGTTTTGATTCGTTTGCCTTCGTGACTCGCTCCGGATATAGCTCTCCCAATGGAACAGTGCACGAGCATACGAGCCGCACTCCATAGCACGTTGAGCGATGATGTCGGCAGGAATAGAGCTTATCACACTCTCGACACTTTCGATCTGGCCAATGTCTTTGGCCTCCTCGATTTCCGAAGGAGCATGACCAGCTCGCAGGGCTGCAGTCCGGTATGCAGCCATAGTTCGCTTCTTCTCCTGTAGCCACTTTGACATGTAGTCCAAAACAGCAAAGACGTTTTCACTGCACTGTCGTAATGCCTCTTTCTCTGACTCAACTGGTGATTCGGTTGACAAGACTGTCAGCATTTCAATTCCAACGTCTTTAGCCTCTTGCACCGTACCGCCAAGGACAATGTTGAGTGCTACGTAAGGGAGAAGAAAGCTGGCGATATAGATGTCATGTCGATTGATAATGCGTGCCAGGATGGGGAACACCATCTCTGCATTGTCACCCTTGCCTCTCCACATCATGTCATAAGCCCATTCACGAAGCCAAGTGCTATGACGTTTCCCAATGGCAAAAACTGGGTAGTTTCGCTTTCCGGGCTGAACAGACGAATTGCTGTTTAGCAGATACCTCGAGCTCAAGAATGGAGTGAGCGTATTCCGGACGCTTTCTGTCATTTCCGCCCAGCGACTATGGGCAGGACCAGCTTGTGACGGCCTTAGACGCGCAGTCGCAGCTTCGTTAAAACCACAAAACCGGACCAGCTCTTGCATAACATAAGCTAGAAACCCCTGATCGCGCGCGTTTGTGGAGGATCTGAATGCTGGTACCAGAACGTCTTCGAGCATGATAGCGACCCAGTTGATAACTTCAGAGGCTTTTTCGAAGTTGGAGAGCACAAGTACTTGCCTCTTGCTGCTACTCATGTCGACACTGTTTGGATCCAAGCAGCCGATGATGCCAATGCATTGTGCACTGAGGTCGACGACAGTCGAGTCGTGGTCAGCATATTTAGTACAAACGTCCAGCAAAGCACGCATCACATCTGCTATTGCGGCCTTGGGTTGTTCGCTGACAGCTGCTTCATGAACGAAACCTTGATTCTCGCCGAGCCATAGAACCAGCTCGCGTAGCCCTTGAGTGACAATTGCGACATTCTCATCATGTAGTCGTTTAGCAAAGGCGCGCAGATGAACGTCTGGGCGCTCGTCCTTTTTCAACCTTTGGATCTCCAGGCCGATTTTGGACATCAACGGAATGGAAGCCAAGGATGGTATGGTCATGAGCTTCTCTCGAATCACGTTGCTGTGGGTCTTGACTATCTCGCTGATAGTGTCGTGGATCTTCTTCTGCAGAGGCGACGAGAGGCCATCCCAATGTTGAGCCACCAGCGCGAAGGTGTGATCGACCATGTCAGCAACATCGTCACCATCGAGAACACTGACCAGAGTGAGCCAGGCAGAAAGTGCCGACTCTTGAAGTTGTCGCTGATCAATGGCGCTCTGAAGGCACGCTCTTATCTGGNNAATATTGTAAGACTTAAGATAAAGGTGCATGTGTGAAGATGAACGTACCTGAGGAAGAGCTACGCTGACCTTGCTCTTAGCTAATATGATCATTTGTTCGATTGCCTTGACACAACGAAGCTTTTCTGATGGAGACAGCGATAGTGTGTTGTCGATAGAGTTTGAAAACTCCGTCATGATGCCCAGAATATGTGCCTCAAAGAAACTGATAACCATACGGTTGGTTTTTGCGCTCGGTTTTGAATGGCTTGGCTTCCCTTCGACCAACATTGTAAAAATCTGAATAGCTTGTTGTGCCNNTGCTGCAAACTTCTGTTTCAGTATTCGGAAGAAGAAGCACCTGCAACAGAAACTCACCTTTGAAGCATTGGTGTCATCTTCGTCTCCCGCGGTCTTGAGCATCTCACAAGCTATCAGAACAGGATCTGATCTGATCAAACTTCCCAGGTCGCTGTTCTGAAAGCCAGGGGCGACCTCAGCAAGGCACTTCGTAGCATTGCCTTCCACGTCGCTTGATGTTTGATAGAGTAACGTGGATATCACAGCAGCAAGGTTGGCAGGCGGCTGAAGACAAATGTCTTGTATGCTAGTCTCTGCACTGCGAGCCGATGCGATTCGCCGTAGAATGTCCTTCTTTTTNGTCAAGACAAGAAAGGGCACTGTGTCTCGTTGGGTCAGCAGCAGGAAATGGCTGACGCTCATGCCCAGGAACTCAGAAAGCTGCTGCGCCTTCTGCGGTTTATTAGTGAGATCCTGAATGACAGCAACTGCTATACTGCGATAGAATGGTTTGAGGAGTGTTTGTGGTGACAGAGACAGGGTTTCGGCAATATCCTCTAANCTGTGAAATTGTCAGAGAAGTCGACAAGATGAGAATGCGAGACATACCTCGCTGTATGCGAGAGAGCAGATCAACGAGTTTGGATGACCCAAATAATCAACCAGCCTGAGTAATGCCAAATTGAGCTCTTTTTCACCACACACCCTACTTCTGTCAGTATCGCATGACGTGACAAAATCAATAGGCGGAACTCACACTGCAACTCTGCCCCAAGCCAATATCAACGTCTCGTGTTGACCTACAATATCTTTCGTCGAGAGTGCTCGCAANAAGTTCAACGCAACCTGTCGGTTTTTGTTGCGAATCTCTATAGGCAGTCCCTCACGAAGAAAGGCAGCCATCGTTCGCCTGTCTCTGTCAGTAAGGAAGAGGACATCTCCTGGTTTTCACTCACCCNNTGCAGCGATTCGTAGCTCTCTGGAGGAACTTTGCAAGTACTTCAAGCAACATTCTCCCAANAAGGAGATTCCGAGATCAAGCTCCCTAGGGTTCCGATTGTGCAACACGATCGACCGAATTGCTAGGATGGCAAGCACTCTATGTCTATCTGAGAGGTGAATGTCTTGGCTCTCGAAGAGTTCCGTGAGTATCTGAAACAACTCATTCCAGTCATCGGCTCGATTGTTCTCCTCCCATGTATTATTGTCTGGCTCGTGCTGTAGACGGCGTTCACCATCACAGATCGAACATTGGCTGTTGTGGTAGTTGTTCGTGGCAGCACAAGCGCAAGATCCAATTGTCTGCCAGAACATGCTTCGTTGGTCGTTCGACATGGAAGCATAGCAAGTTCTATCATAAGTCAGACAACCAATAAACAATCATTCTAAAGTGAACTTACACAACGTCAGGATCATTTGTNNAGTCATACTGTCTTGCTTGCCCAGAAGAGTGGCAAGTCTACGCTTGAGTTCCTGGTATAAGTTTTCTGACTCGCTGCTCGATGGCTTTTGCCTTGAGCCGCGAAGACCCTGTAGCCGTCTACGCTTTGGCGCAGGTTGCAAGGCTAGCGCTTTGGGTCGAGGCTGAGGAGTATCGTCGCTCATGACAACATCAGCTTCGTCCTTTCTGTCGTGTCTCTCCAGACATTTGTGAAATACGCATTGTAAAGATGCATCAACAGCCTCAAACTTTGATGAGTCGCGAGCAAAGGCTCGAACAGAAGGGAGCAGAAATTCTTCAATTATGTATCCATACTCTGCATCATAGAGGTCGATCAGTTTCTCAATGGTCGACGCAAGCTCNCTTTGCAATTCGTCATCGAGCAGTGACTTCCCATTGTGAACGATGAGCTTCGAACAAGACTCGCAGAGGCTACTGAGCCTGTAGGATACGTGATTGTGTATCGTCGGATCTGTTGAGCCGTTCAAAACAAGATTCTGAAGACGAACGATTTGCAAAGCAAATGTAGAAAAGAAAGAGTGCTGCTCAAACCATGATTTGTGTTGGAATAGTATGCGGCTCAAAGCAGCAACCGAGTCGGACACCGATTTGTACAAGGGAGACGTTGAAGTCTGAAATCGAGTAAGGGTTGTTTTCGCTAAAGTGAGGTTTTGCAGTGTGGAAACAAGCAGCAGCTGTATCCTGATGGCTGATAAAGGGTCATTTGTAGACAGTTGATGACCCAGAGACAGAGCTGCGTTGTCCTCTGGCTGAGGCCAGACATTTGATGTACTCCTAACGGGTGGCAGCAAGACAGCGGGAATGAGCGTTGCGGACTTGGAGAAGACGCGGCTATCTTGGAGCAGTGTGAAGAGGTCAGTAGCACAGTCCCGAAGCATTTGCAGCAATGCTTTTGCGTATGGCCACAGATCCAAGCTCTTGGACAGACTCAATACTAGAGAGGACATGAGAGATGCCAGTGAGTGTTGTAGCTGAGAGCCTTGTGGATGCTTGGATATCATGAGCAATTTGGGAAACAGCCAAAGCAGGAGATGTGGATGTTGATCTGGGGTCGAGGAAGCATTGTGAAAAAGAATGTCGGGCTGCCTTTGTATGGTGGACTCGATGACAGCAAGACTGTCAACTGCCTGAGGAATCAGAAAGTCCCATTGGGCGAATGGGTCATCGCGGAAGAGGACATCGAGGCCTGCCTCGACAACAACTTTGATCAATTTATGGTTGACGTCAACGTCAGTCTCAGGCACGGAGGTCTTGTTGAGAATCTCCTGCAGGAGCTGACGAAAAGTGACGGTAGTGTCTTCTTGATTTAGACCACGGGCAGTGTCGACGTGGTTCTTCACGAGCTGGGCAGCAAGTGTAGATGGTGGTGGAAGATTTGCATCAGTCAAATCATCGCCACTAAAGGACGCGGCGCCACGACCATGACTATGTGCGAGAAGCCTTCCGACCATCTTGCAAGTCTTGAAGAGAAGGCGGCCGCAGCAGTAGCAGATAGCTCATCTGGTGAGTGTTTGACGAGGCAAATGGTGAATGAGTGGGAAGACGCGACTGATGGAGGACCACGTCGTCACGTGTTTCGTAAATTGATGGAAGTTCCATGCGGCCTCAAAGCTGGAGATTTAGAGATGTGCTCAATCCAGCAGCTGCAAAGGCAACCATACAGCTAGCCATCACGTCAAATTCGATTGCCCACTACCATCGAAGCAATCCACTGGAATAAGACTTGTGCATCCTGTCGTACCCTCCACGCACAACCGCCCAATATGGCCGTCTTCCCTGCTAAACGCTTCCGCTCGAGCTCGTACAATGGCACCATGCCTGCTAGATATCGCGCACTGCTAGCGAAACACCCCTTCGCTCTCTTTGGCCTCCCCTTCATTGCGACAATGGTCTTGGGCTCTTTCTTCCTGACGCCAGCAACTGCCATCCGATACGAAAAGCACGACCGCAAAGTCAAGCAGCTGACCAAGGAGGAAGAGCTCGGTATCGGCAAGGACAGGCGAAGGATTGATCTGAAAGAGGAATACTACGTACGTATACTGCCATTGCTTGTCTACGTAGCGCTATCTGACTCGAAGCGCAGANGATTGGCGGCGAAAGATCTCGACAACTGGGAGCAGAAGAGAGTTAAAAGACTACCCGGCGAGCACGACGGTATCCTTTAAACTGCTCCTTCGACACTCACTCTCGTTTCCCTCAGCATATATGGTTTTCCTTCTTGGTTTTAGCAAGGCGTTGGTTTGGGAAGAATTATGGCATCCACGAGAAACATCAAATACTACAATACCCTGTTGATCCGTCTTCGAATCATCGCACCGCTCCGCCTTTGCATTGTTTCAAACTCAAGACCACACGCGTTTCATCTCACAAGACACTGCACCTATGTTTGTGGCCTTCAGTCGGTGGCCGCCTTTTATCTTTTGTTTCATTATGTTCGAAGCCGAGGCACGTGGAGTGTCGACGTCATGTTTTGTTGATATTCCACATCCAATATCTCCATCTCTTGCCTCCCGTCGAGCCGTCGGTCTTCTTGCTCGTATTTCATGAGCTACCTTTGTGAAGACACTCAACATGGACGACTCGACATATGGCATCGCCAAGTTTCTATTCCCTCGCATTCCATCGCTGACAAAGACGGCCCTTGCACACTCTCTGTCGCTTTCACCAACCTCTTCGAAATGGAATCTGAAGACTGAGATGACCGTCGCATTCTTACGCGGTCTTATGAATGATGGTCCTTCGCCGATCGGAAAGACTCAAGCTCAGACTTTGAAGGATCCTGGTGCCAAGGGCAAGGTCTGGACGGCCAAAGTCACCATCCCAGCTCCCGAGGACGAAAGCATCCGAGATGCGACATTCACTGCCATTGCAGACCTTGGAGATGGCAAGGAGACATATACGAAACCAGGACTCTCTGCCATTGATGCTGAGTGGACTGGCTTCCGCCGTGGAGCTGGTGCCGAAGAGCCTCTACCAGACATCTCAGAGCAGGAAAAGTACAATAATCTAATGAGCGAACCTACCAAATCGAGCAAGACAACCATCCTGTATCTCCATGGCGGCGCGTATTACATGTGCGGTTTTGGAACTCACAGGCTGCAAGTCTCGAAACTGGCAAAGGCCTGCAATGGAAGAGCCTTCAATGTTGGCTATCGTCTTGCGCCGCAGGCTGCTTTCCCATCACAGTTGTTGGATGCACTAAACGCGTATCTGTATCTGCTATATCCGCCTCCTGGCTCTCTACATGAACCAGTCGCAGCTCGCGACATTGTTTTCGCCGGCGATTCAGCGGGCGGCAACCTGGTGTTTGCACTTCTCCAACTCTTGCTGCAACTTCACCGTACCAAGCCAGCGAGCGCAAAGAATCCTGCCGTTCGTTATCACGGCAAGACTGTTGAAGTACCTCTTCCTGCGGGAGCATCAGCCAACTCTGGTTGGTTCGACATCACCAGATCGATGCCTTCTTTGGTACACAACGCAAAGTACGATTACCTTCCACCAGCAGATCATGATGATGCCTTGGGACGATTCCCAAAGGACGACGTCTGGCCAACCACACCACCAAGAGGTGATCTATTCTGCGATCTCAGTATGATATGTCATCCTCTTGCATCACCTCTTGCGGCCATGGACTGGACCAATGCACCTCCACTCTGGATTGAAACTGGAGAAGAACTTCTCACGGACGAAGACCTGATAGTGGCAGTCAGGGCAAGTACTCAAGGCGTGAAAGTTCACTTCGAGCAGTACGAAGCAATGCCTCACTGCTTTGCTATGCTTTTGCCCACACTTGCGACTAGCAAGCGATGCATCGACTCATGGGGCACGTTCTGCCGTAAATGTACAGAAGGCAGTATAGAGACGAATGGTACCTGGATAGCAGCAAAGACAGGACTTGAGAAACAGGTTGAAGTGACAAAACTGACAGAATTAACTGTCGAAGATGCTATCAAGCGGATGAGGGATGCTCAGAGGAGACGTTATGCTGGTTACGAGAAAGAGGGCAAAGCAATGCCCAACCCGAGCTTGTAGTAGAGGCCTACATCTTTGCAACACCATAGATTTCTTTTATCGTTCTAGTGCTGTTTGGCATTGCGTGCTTTTAAAGGCGCCTGGGCAGGTCGGCTCGTTTACTAGACCGTCAGCTTGTTTCAAGATACATCATGATATTCCAAGCTACGCAATTGATTTCTCATTAGAATGCAGTATCCGAGATCATTTCCGAGAAGCTCGGAAGAGACACTCCGGCCCCCTCTTCTGGTTATGACGAAGTGATCCAACAGCAACTATCTCCCATTATTCTATGACCTTTGGCAGGCAAACAAGATCTGACAATCACAAATTTCAGAGCCAGAGTTAGGACATCATATCATACGCCAATCCCACGCCTACATTAATTCAAGCGCCTTCTAAAGATGCCGTTCGCCAAGGTCAATTACAAAACTCTGTACTACAAAGACTGGTTACCTAAAGATGGTTCTACTCCTCGAGCAACACTTGTCATGGTAAGAGATAGCGACCAAGATGTCGGGTCCATCTGCTGAGTTGTACATCAGAGCCATGGCTTGGGCTCAAGCAATAACTACTACACTGCAGTGGTTCCTTACCTGGTCGAGCAGGGTTACCGCTGTATCTGCTTTGACATGACCGGATCAGGTCTCTCGCCTTACACCTACGTCGAGCAGAGTATCCACAGTCTCGCAGAGGACGTGACCGCCCTAATGGATGTTTTAGCAATCGACAAGGCAATCTTCGTCGGCCACAGCATGTCCGGTATAGTTGGTCCTGAATTGGCAGCCGAGTGGCCCGATCGCATCCAAGGACTCATCTTGGTGGGTCCCGTATGGCCTTCATCAGAGGCAGCTCCCATCTTCGAGGACCGCATCAACAAGGTTACGGAAAAAGGGATGGACGTCATGGCAGACACTGTACCATATGCTGCGGTGGGATCTACAGCCACTTCCTTACACCATGCTCTCATCCGAGAACTACTGCTTGGAATGGATCCTGCTGGTTACATCAGCTTGTGCAGGGTCATCGCCAATGCACACAAGTCACCACCAAAGTATGCAAAGGTTTCGTGTCCGACTCTTATTATTGCCGGAGAGGACGACAAGAGTGCACACTTGCCTGGATGCAAGAAGATCATTGAAGCGCTTGGCTCGAGTCAGAAAAATATGGTTGTGATGAGCAACTGTGGTCATTGGCACTGCATCGAAGACCCATCAGAAGTCGGCAAATTGTCTTTAGATTTCTTGAAGCAGATTTCATAGAATCAACAATTCGAAAATACGTGCTCGAGCAATCGATATCGCAGCATGATACTGAAAAAATCCTGCAGGTACCCGCTTGGTTGAGCTGTGTTCTCCACAAACAAAAACTTGATGCTCAGAGTACGAAACGCGACAGTAAAACATCACACATTGCATAGCAAGCACGGAGAGCTGGTAACAAGAAGTAGATCTGATATGATTAGATTGCTCCAGCCAGCATTTGTTGAGGGAAAGGGGCACATTTGGTAGGGCCGTAAGGCGGTGAGGATATGGATAGCCAACGTGTCAGAGAGTTTTAATCGACGTTTCAACAATCCAAATCCGGCAGTTGGTCCTATGCTTCCGATTCAGATCGCAACACGTTGTAAGAGGGATAATTCTGCGACCATGGGACAGAGAGTATTGATGCGCAAAGCTAGCACAGCCCTCGTTATGTATATACTGGGTGAGTTGTTGTCGTGCTCGAATAAGATCGTACGAGATGTTGGAAACATGAAGCAGAAACGCTTGGCGACAGGCGTTGGATAAGAAGACGTGGGAAGCTTATCCAGCGGCAGCCCCTTGAGTGGACTGATTATTTTGTAGACCAAAGTACCTTAGGTAATTAAAGTGGGAGTATAATTTGGCGCGCAGTCCTCGAATCAATCTCCACGTCCATCTCTCTACCCTCTCTCCTTCATACCAACGCCGCTTCTGTTTCTTTGTTGAGCTTGTTGCTTCGTTGTTTCTTGCTAATATTGTTCTGATACCCCCTTTCTACCACACTCTCAACTTTTCGCACTCTCTACGCCACAATGTCTGAACGCCCTGAGAACATCGGTATCAAGGCCATTGAGCTTTACTTCCCCAGCCAGGTATGCCTTTACAGTCTGCTCCTAATGCTCAGCAATCGCTAACGAGCGTGATCCGNNCAGTGTGTCGACCAGGCCGAACTCGAGAAGTTCGATGGAGTCAGCGCCGGAAAGTACACCATTGGCCTCGGCCAGACCAGAATGAGCTTCTGCGATGACAGAGAGGGTGAGCAGGCGATCAAGATGCGCCAATTGAGACTGTCAAATTAACAAACTCGCANNGACATCTACTCCCTCGCTCTGACCGCCGTCTCCTCGCTCCTCCGCAAGTACAAGATCGACCCCAAGGATATTGGTCGTCTCGAAGTCGGTACCGAGACCATCCTTGACAAGTCCAAGTCGGTCAAGTCTGTCTTGATGCAGCTTTTCAAAGAGTCGGGCAACACCAATGTTGAGGGTGTCGACACTGTCAACGCTTGCTACGGTGGTACCAACGCACTTTTCAACGCCATCAACTGGGTCGAATCCTCTGCATGGGACGGTCGTCTCGCCATTGTTGTCGCTGGTGACATTGCCCTTTACAAGAAGGGTGCCGCCAGACCCACCGGTGGTGCTGGATGCGTTGCCATGCTGGTGGGCCCCGACGCCNCCCTGGCTTTCGAGCCCGGCCACAGAGGCAGCTACATCACTCACGCATACGACTTCTACAAGCCCGACCTGACCAGCGAGTACCCCATCGTTGACGGTCAATTCTCCATCAAGTGCTACACCCAGGCCGTCGACGCCTGCTACGAGGCATACAACACCCGTGAGGCCCAGCTCAAATCCAAGGCCAACGGTGCTGCCAATGGCAATGGTGCTCACGCCGAGCCCGAGACTCCTCTCGACCGCTTCGACCACATGTGCTTCCACGCCCCTACCTGCAAGCTGGTTTCCAAGTCTTACGCTCGTATGCTCTACAACGACTACAAGCAGAACCCCGAGAACCCTGTCTTCGCCGAGGTTCCCGCCGAGATCAAGGACATGGACCTCGAGAAGTCGTACAGCGACAAGACCGTCGAGAAGACCTTCATGACCCTCTCTAAGAAGCGTTTCGCCGCTCGCGTGCAGCCTTCGATCCAGGTCCCCACCATGTGTGGTAACATGTACTGCGGTTCCGTCTACGGTTCGCTCTGTGCTCTTCTATCCAACGTTTCGTCGCAAGACCTCCAGGGCAAGCGTGTTGGTATCTTCTCATACGGCTCAGGCCTCGCCTCGTCCTTCTTCTCATTCAGAGTCAAGGGCAGCACCGAGGAGATGCACAAGCAGATCGACCTCCAGAACAGACTCGATTCGCGCAGAGTGGTTGCCCCCGAGGTGTACGACGAGATGTGCAACCTCCGTGAGCGTGCACACTTGAAGAAGGACTACTCGCCTGCTGGCAACCCCGAGACTCTCTTCCCTGGCACCTACTACCTGACCAAGGTCGATGACCTCTTCAGAAGAGAGTATGCCATCAAGCAGTAAATGTTTTGACTACCGAAGTGCTGAGAGCCAGCGATGGCATCGTGGTGAAGACAAGGTGTCGGCACAGACAGTAGGGCGAACCTGGAGCCGGCTGTCATGTGTTTGACGGCACGCTTCACGGCTTGTGTCTCGAACTCTTTTTTCTTTTTCCTCTTCTTCTTATTTTCTCGGATTACAGGTGGATTAGCGGCGCATACAGAATTGTAGTAGTACTTTTGACCCGTCTTTAAGCCTCGATAGTGAGAGGCTGGACAATGACGATATGAAAAGCATGCAAATATCAAAAAAACTTCACAAAACCAAAGATCGATGCCGAAAAACCTGGTTCGGGTGTGTTTCGAATGCGGATGACAGACGACAAGGAGTGTCATGCCGATAAGCGGGAAGTGACGGAGGCGGCTTCCGTGGAGAGCGAGACGAGGGAGCAAGCGTCGATTCATTCTTTCCTTGGCAGGACTGGGCGTTTGGCAACGACAGGCCCTCGCTCTTGCCTATCGTCTCTGCCTATCCAACACTCGCTACTCGAATTACGTGAAAACTCCTTCTACGATCATACGCTCGCCCATCCGAAACACGAGCCGACCGAACGCGCTCGTTTTGCTGCCCCTATCATCCCCGAGCCCCAGGTGCTGGGCCCCGACGACCGACCACTCGACCGCGTCCCAACCATCGCTCACCATACGCTCAACTCTTCTAAATCATGGCCAACTCTCGTGATCAGCCTCGCAGGTCGGCAGACGATGTTTTCGACGACGAATATGCCGTAGACGACTTTGACGGAGTCGCTGACGGCTTTGCTCCTGGCCGCGTGCAACCGGCCAACGACCGATGGTCAATCCACTCCGAGGACCCTTCAATCCGCAGCGTTCACGCACACATGTCGGATGCCCCTCGCTTCTCTACTGGTCCCAGCAGGAATAGCATGCATAAACCGCGAGATGTCCAGAACCCCTTCAGCAGCACAGAGGACGACGATGACGACAATACTGACGAGCGCTCGGCTCTGAATCGCTCATCAAGTATCCAATCCTCTTCGACTGCCCAATATGCCCCCGGAATCGCCCACAGACTTAGTACTGCATCGTCCGCCGGAGTTTATGCTCGTACTGCGAGCCCTCTCCTCGGCACTACCGGCCCCAGCCACCCCTACTCAATGTATCCTCAAGATACCAACGTAGCCCGCACGCCATCCGTATCTACGACCGCTTCCACCATTCGTGCGGTTCAATCGACTGCCATGTCAAACCAGGGCCCCGCCCATCCTTACAGCATGTATCCCCAAAACGTTTCCGAGAACGAGGTAGCGGACCCTGCTGGTACATCAAGCCATGCTCAGACGATAATCCCAGTCGGCTTTCCCGGTAGAAGTCAAGGCTTCGTAAGAACTCGAGGACCTGGAGACGAGGAGCAGGACATCATCGGGGTCGACGGTCATTCAGAACAACTCCCACCTTACTCCGAGTACCCTGAGGATGGTGTACCAAAACCGGTTGTCCCAACCGCACTACTAGCACAAACTGCCGCTCCTGCCCATACCACTCAGGTCCATATGCCTTTGATGCAGCAACAGCGCCAGCCCGAAAGCATGTCAGACCAGTCCGCCGCTTATGGCTTTGCCGAGATGCAACAAATGAACTCCATTGATTCGAGTGATACTCCATCAGAGAACAAGAGTTGGAGCGAGAAGTCATGGAAAGAGAAGCGAAAGACGCGCTTCTTCGGCATTCCCTTCTGGTGGATACTATTATCTCTCTGCGTGCTTGCCTTCATTGCTATTGTTTTGGGTGCAGCTATTGGCGGTATCTTCGCAAGTGCCAGAAAGGAAGCTGTCAAGGCTACGACCAAGTAAGTCGTTATGGTCAGCTGATCTCCTGCTGCTTACTAACAAGCATGTCTAGACNACTATGGCAACACGACCACACTATTAGACGCATCACCAATTCCTACATCATCGATAGGAGCTCCACCGCCAACTGGCGTTTATGCTCTGGACTTTGGTGCGCCAAGAGCTACACAATCGGCTTGTATAGCCAACCAGAATTACTCGGCTGCTTGGACTTGCAACATTTATGGCATACCGCAGATGGCCATCAACATTGGCCTTCCACCGGATGGAAGCAACAACGAAGGCGCCTCACTGTACGGATTCAGCAACGCCACCGGCATCAACTATGGCACTCAACCCCCGAACACTCATTTCGCTCCCTTCATCTCCGTCGAAGATGACGATGAACCGTATCGGGGTCCTGCTTTCTATTTCCAGACCTTTTACGACAAATTCGTAGTTGTCCCAGAGAGCTCTCTTCCCGCAAGCAACGCCGCCAACGCGCAGAAGCGTTCAATGATCAACACTGATTGGTTCACTCAGCACCAAGTTCAAGCTGGAGACAAGCCGTGGTTTTGCTGGTTCAACGGCACGTTCCTCGAAGGCTTCATCTACGCCAACAACTACACAGACCCGAGTGCGCCGTCATCCTCATTATCGTCATCATCTTCGTTTACGTCCTCAAACAGCAGACATGCCAAGACCTCGTCGTCTCCGCTAACTACTTCCACTATCATTGAAGTCTCAGGCCCTTCGACAACTGCTACCCTGACTTCTGCTTCCCAAAATACTGCTTCCACACAATCCGTCTCAAATTCCTACACGCACACGCCAAATGGACGGAAAGTAAAACGTGGCTGGCATCTGGAAAAACGTACGTGGACGTTTGCTGAACTGTCTTCTTTCGGCTATGTTGTCAAGATCGAAGAACGTCGTGTGCCGGACAGTGTGCAACCTTACTGTCAGCAGTTCCAAATCTTGGACAATGGCATGGCAGGTGGCCTCGATGACCCAGCCACAGGGCAGCAGATAACAGTCTACCTGCAAGAGACCGACCCCGACTACAGCGCTTACAATCAACAGACGTACGGAGCGTCTCCGACAGGATCGTCAAAGGTCAAGCGTGATCCCATATCTGGTGCTTGCCATTGTGAATGGTGGAGTGGATCTTCACCTGATTCGTAATCTTCTCTGTTCTATTATTGTGTCTATGATTTCTTTCCTCTTCTGGTACCAGGAAGATATCTTGTTTCCTTTGTTATATTCTGTTCTTATCGGAAAGCGGGCTTAGAAAGCGTTGCGGCGTTGATTAACTTTTGATGGATCAGATTGTGGGTTATTTTGGAAGCGATTCTGTCTTGTTTTTATTATGCAAAGTAAAGGGAACTGCTGGTGTTCTCGCTTGGGAGGGAGGGGGTGGTGTTGGTTTCAAACCGTGGTTTCTCTTTTTCCCACAGAGCAAAGTAGCTTGATAGTCTCTTGCTTTTGATATCGAATCATTCATGAGAACATGCAATTCACATGTGAAACATCAACTTTCACTAGTCTGTGAATCGTGTCTTGCTCTTTTGTGTCGATTGTGTTTGCTTGGCGCCCACTTTGGTAGTCGAGCTGAACTTTTTCCGCAGACGCACCTTCCTTGTGTTGCGACTTCCTGCGGACCATGTAAATTGCCAACCTAAAAGATATTATTCAAGATGTTCTCCGCCGACTATCCTCCATCGCCCACCCCGTCCGAAGCAGACATGGATGCTATGACTGCGCATGTCGAAAACAGGCCCTATCATGAGGCTTTCATGCGCGAGGCTATCAACATGGTACGCTTTTCCCCATTCTGCCAATGCTTCTCATCAGAAAATCATCCCAAACACGAAAATGCTGACTCCTGGTCGTTGGATTAGGCCGAGCTGGCACTTGCCTCTGATGAGACGCCTGTTGGTTGTGTATTTGTTCATGATGGCAAAGTCATCGCCCAGGGCATGAACGGCACCAACGTTACCATGAATGTAAGCAAACATATCAAAACCATCACCTTCAATTGGTTTCTCTCCATCAGGTCGACACCATACATCCCCTTTGAACCCAACACTTTCCAATCGACGCAATCGTTTATTGACATGGTCGCTGCCAGGNGAACACGCCATGCCGAATTCGTAGCCCTGAGCCAAATCCTGGCCGAACACCCACCTTCCATTCTCCAGGAGACGGACCTGTATGTCACTGTTGAGCCATGCATCATGTGTGCCTCCGTGCTGCGCCAGTTCCGCATCCGCGCCGTCTACTTTGGCTGCCTCAACGACCGCTTCGGTGGCTGTGGTGGAGTGATGCGCATCTGTGATGAGTAAGTCTTGCATCTTCCCATGAAACATTACGGATCAAGATACTGACAAAATCAAAAGCNNCCCAACATCGAGCCTCCATACAAGATCTACGGCGGCATCTACAGAGCCGAGGCCATCATGCTACTTCGCCGCTTCTACGTTCAGGAGAACGAGAAAGGTTTGTGTTGCCATGCATTTCGAGTCATCTGCCACCGCTAACATCCACGTCTTGAAGCCCCCGAGCCCAAGCAGAAGAAGAACAGAGAGCTCAAGACCGACATCATGCCCCTGGTCAACATGAAGAACCCTGAAGGTTGAAAGCGACAAAAGGTGCTTTACCCAACCGAACCTTGAACCAACCATACAACACCAGACTGCGTCGCCGCTCTTCCTTGCTGGTCCTGGAGATCGAGTCGACTTATGCATGTCATAACATGATACGCAGCACGCAACCAATACAGACCGGATCGACCTACACCAGCAGCATCATTGCGCCATTCCCCTTGTCAAGAGATGAGGGATTGATGCATACTCATACAGCAGAATTAGCTAAATATTGTCATGGGAATGCACGGAATCATGAGAGAGAATGAGACAAGTCAGCTTGTCTGGTGATTAGCATAGATTAACAGATGGTATACTTCAGAAACGAAATATCAAAGCATTCACGCGCCGATACAAGTGGCCCTTTCAGAGGTCGATACTTCATTTGCTATTCATACAGCAACAACTTTTGCAGATTGCTTCTGACCATTTCCATTGTCTCAACAAGAAGGAAGGCAATATCGCACGACGGTGACAAAAACATGCTTTGAAATGACAAAAATAGCGTCAAGGCCCATCAGAAGGGACAGCAGAGGAAAAGAAGTAGAAACAACTGTTGCACAAAGGCAAAGTAAACTCCCGCCTTTTCTATATCTGTATCCCTTATTCTGCCTCTCCTCTCTTTCATCCATCCACAGATAGATCTTGCCCCTTTTGTGTGTGTGTCCAAAGGCAGAGTGGAAAAAGAGAAAAACAATGTGGTCAACTTTATTGTGTAATCCTCCCTTTCCTTCTCGTTCAATCCTCCTGCTGGGCTGCTGTCGTTTACAACATATTCCTTCCACTCATACACAAGAAGAAGAAAAAGAAAAAAAAAACCAGTACTCCGAAACAGAGTAGCAGATGTTATCCTAGACCATCAAAGCCTTCTGTTCGGCTTTTGTTATAAAAGATAGGAGTGAGAAAAGGTGGAGTTAGGATCATGCCGGGGCAAAGCTTTTCGGTAGCCTCTAGTGCACTATGGCGACTCCCGGGAGAGGAAGGCGTTCCACTTTGCCAGAGTGCGTAAGTGAAGAGACACAGGCCGTAGTCGTCCATGTAGAGTGGCCATTGGTTCGGGGTATGGTTCGTTTGGGTGAGCTTCTGTGTTACACTTCAAGGAAAATGGAAAAGAGGAAAAAATCAATGTGTCCGTCCGGCTTGTCGACCGAGCTCACATCATGCCCAACCGCCACCGCCGCCGCCGTTGTTACCACCCGTCCATCCTTCTTCCAGCGTGCGATCCTCTAGCTGTCGTACAAAGTTTGTCTGGCTTCGGGCATCTCTTGGTCCTCTGCTCATACGCCTCCTACCACCGACGTTACCGACGTCTCCTGTTTGTTCGTTGGGAGGGGGATAGTAGGCTGGGCTGGGTTGAAGGCGAATGGGTGCGTTGGGATCGAGATGAGATACCACTCGCTGCAACGATGACGGAATTCCATTCGCCAAGTCCATGGTGGAAGCACGTTGGCGACCGGCTCGTGTGGTGGCCTGAGCGTAGAGTGACGATTGAGGCTGGTTGTGCTGATAGGCGTGTTGCTGAGGCTGGTGGCCGTGCATGGAGGCGATCGGCGGCGGTTGCTGCAGCATGGGCGCTTGATTGTATGTGTTGGGTACGGCGGCCGAAGGGTACGGGGGTGGAGCTTGTTGCTGCTGTGTGGGAGTGTACATGTTGGAATACATGGGTGATTGCTGGGCGTGAGGAGAGGCCGGGTAGCCAGGAGGTTGCATGTGCACGCCGGCATAGGCGGCATTGGCTGCAGACTGAGCCTGCTGTTGCTGATGATGCTGCTGCTGCTGTGCAGCCTGGGCACGCTGCTTTGATAGAGCTTCGGCTTGCTGCTGTTGTTGAAGGCCCGGGGCGGGTGAGCGAGAAGATGATGGTTTGAGATGCATTTGGGGCTGGAAGGGGCCAGTGAACTTTTGTTGTGTGATGAAAGGGTGAGTACGAGCCTGCTGTGGCGTCCATCTCTCGAGTGGGTTGATGTTCAGAAGACCGTGGACGAAGTCGATGAAGGCGATCCTGTTGTTCATTTCTNNGATAGATTGTCAGTACCCGTTCAGGTTCATGATCAACCGAAGATACTTACCACGGTCAATCTCTGCTTGCTTCATGCCCTTACGCGGCATTGGGTAGTTGCGGATGATTTCAGGAAGGGTAGTGGCGGAGAAGTACTTCTTGCTGGGTTGCTCCTTTGTGCCGTGCTCTCTAGAGTACTGATCCATTGGTTTGAGACGATATGTTTTACGACCAAACTCGTCATGAGTTTTCTCGAAGAACTCGCCTGATTGCTTGCCGACTTCAAGCATCCAGGTGGGAGGGAGACCTAGCATCTCGGTGATTCTCGACACTTGATTGTACTCGGAGGAACCAGGGAAAAGAGGCAGGCCGAGGAAAAGCTCGACAACAATGCAGCCCAAAGACCACATGTCAATGGCCGCTGAGTAGGGCAAGCCGAGGAGGACTTCTGGAGATCTGTAAAAGCGCGATTGGATGTATGTGTATACGGTCTGACGTTCGTCACATGCAGATCCGAAATCGATAATTTTGATGATAGGGCTCTCAAGACTGTCCATACGTTAGTTTCCACTTAGAGAGGTAAGAATCGAGACAAACTTTTTGAGCAAGATGTTTTCTGGCTTCAGATCGCAATGGATCAAGCGGGCTTTGCTAAGCAGACACAAGCCACTTAGTAGTTGTTGGGCAAAGACTCTCACAAGAGTGGTGCTCAATCCTCTGAATTGATTTTGCTTAATGAGCTCGTACAGGTTGACCGACAAAAGCTCGAACACTAGACACAGGTGTTGTTTGTGGATGAATGTGTCCTTGAGTCGGAGAATGTGGTGATCGTCGTTCTTGTCCATACGTCCGTTGAGNCTAGGTGACGAGGGTCAGTTGATTCAAATCATTTCCGTACGCGACATCTTGTTGCTTACCAGATCGAGAACAGACACCTCCATCATGCTCTGGTTGAAGTAGGCTGTGCGGTTCTTCACCACCTTGACCGCAACAACCTCTTGGGTTTTGAGATTCTGACATTTCACCACCTGACCAAAGGTACCCTGACCGAGGACATCGAGAATGAGGTAGCGGTTCTTGTTGTTCGTGTCGTCGCTGCCGAGAATGTCATTGACATAGAGAATGTAATCGCTATCCTCGTTATCGTAGCCGTCGTTCTTGGTGCCCTTAGATGGCTTGGTGAGGACTCTGCGTGGGTTGCGCGAACTCTCATACTGGAAATTTGGGTTGCAAATTCTGTATGTTGCAGGCAACTGTGTAGTCAAAGCTTGCAGAGGCGAAATGAAACCGCCGTCTGGATGAGCTCTCCTGAAAGGTGGCTGGGCGTTGACACGAGGCTGCAAATCACCGACATTGTCACACTTTGTAAAGACGGGAACAGGGCCGCGAGTGGGCGGCTCGGACTGGGACTGGTTGGGAGGAGGTAGGCGCGGAGAGTGGGGGCCGCTCTGATTGAAGGGCGAGGGGTAGAAGTCGGCATTGGACTGGATGGGAGGGAGGTTCGGACGCGATTGAGTCGGCGACGAGTACATGTGACGCGTAGGCGATTGTCGCATCTGCTGGGGCGTGTATTGGTTCGGGCTGGTCATGTATGGTGAGGTAGGCGAGGTCGTGTTCATTGGCGAGTAGCGGCGGGCAGCGGTCGAGTCCATGTTGGGTTGCGACGAAAGGTAGGCGGCCCTCTGAGTTGGGGTGCGCGAGCTGGACGAGTACTTCTGGCGATTGTATGGATCGACGTCTTCCATGACCCTGTCTCCGTCGGTATCACCGTCAAGAGGAGTGTTTTGCGATGAGGGACGAGTCATCTTGTAGGGATCGTACTTGGGCGGCTGCTGCTGCGACGCAGCTGCAATGGAGCCGTGTCTGGACGCAGAGGCAGCAGGGTTCGCTTGCCATGGCGACTGCTGCTGCTGTTGCTGTTGCTGTTGCGGATCCATGGCTGTAGCAATGAAAGCGGCCTCTGTGGTGAAAGGCGGCGCGCCTTTGCGGTGATGTTGCTGACTTTGGGTGGGATGGCTGGCACGAATGGAGCAAAGATGGGGTGGATGATGCGACAACAGCAATAGAGCACTGCGGCGCTACCTGTCCACGTCTGCACGAAGCAACTGCGTCAGCCTGCAAGAACCTTGACCATGTGTGTTGGCATGGCCTGCTCACCTCTTGTTTATCCCTGGGGCTCTCTAAAAGGCCTCAGCAGCCAACGAAAGGGAGTAGCGGCTTAGAGTTTGGCTGTCAACGACGACCAAGTCATCAAGGGACACCCCAAGACGCAAGCGGGGCTGATTCCTCACTCCAGAGCTTCAAGGTCGCTCCTGCCCAACGCGACATGACGCACCCATGCTTGGATACCACGTTTTGATTTCCCAATCGCCTTTTCATCCACCTATACGAGTTACGTGCTCTTACACAGGGAGTCTCTATCTGCATTGGTCACGGTTCATCATGTTTGCTTCCATCGATTGCCCTCTCGCTGCAAAGCCACAGTGCACACACTCTCCGTTCGACGCTTTGAAGTAAGTACGTTCTTTTTGCCATTGCATCGTGCGATCTAGGGGGATTAGAGTAAAGAGATAAACTGTAAAAGGAAACATGACAATCCTGCCCGGCTTTTGGTGTCCTTGTGCGCTGCAATAACGTACAGAAAATGTGTCACTATGAGAAGAACGCCAAACCCATCCGCAGCATCCAGACCCCTTACGATCTGATGGCGTTGCCCAAGACACCGCCCTGGAAACCGCCGCCGCCTCTTCTGATGCCGCCTTGGCCACCTCTTCCTCCGCGTCCGCCTCTGGCACCTCCTCTGCCTCCTCTCTGTGCGCCTTGTCTCTCGAAGGCGTTGGCAGTGCCTTGTGTTCTCTGCTCCAGCGTCTTCTCGTTGCTCTCAATGAGGCCACTGGCCTTGTCGCTGAGAGTGAGAGCCAAGCTTTGCAGTCTGCTGAGCTCAACACCCTTTCTGAAGATGATGGCGCCGTTGACCTGGTCGAGAGCAGCAGCAAGCTCCTCGTGGCTGATCATCTTGCTGACAATGGCCGAAACCTTACGCTCCGACAGCTCGAACATCGAGGCAAGCTTGTCGATGGAAAGAGTGTCGTAGAAGGGAGCGTAGGTGAAGAGGTAGGTGCGAAGACCCTCTTCTTGGATCTGCTCCTCGAGCATAGCCTTGATCTTAGAGGCTTGCGGCAGGAGGTCCCAGATTTTGATGGCAGTGATGAACTCGGCAGCCTTGCGCCATTCACCCTGAGCGAGGGCCTTACTTGCCTGCATGACGTGGTCACGAGTGTTCTCAGGAGGACCAGTGAAGATCTGGCGCTCGTGGTACTCGAGCATACGGCGGTAGGACTTGCTGATGACACGCTTCTTGAGATCAGGCGAGGAGCCGACCTGAGCAAGAAGAGGAATCTCGAGCAGCATAGAACAGGTGAGATAGACACACTCGAGGAGCTCGAGGTTGACGTGCATGTGGAAAGGAAGCTGGCGTTGGCGCTCGATACGCTCCTGCTCGGGGGTGATTTGAGAGTAGCGTTGCATCTGGAGACCTTGGGCGAGCAGCTCCTTTTGTCTTTGCGAACCGCAAATGTCCTGGAGTGAGTTCTGGGCCTCGTAGACGAGTCCAGCGCGGAAAGCACAGAGACCGACCTGTGTCAAGGTACGGTTGAACAGGATCTGGGTGTTGACATCGAATCCAGAGATGGTCTCTTGCAAATGCGACATGAGGAGCATGTCGCGAGCTTTGAAGTACTGGTCGTGAAGAGCGAGGTAGTAGACCTGGCAAAGCATAGCACGGGCACGGATGATGCCTTCGCTGTGGGTGTAGAGGTATGTGCAGATGGCGGTGACAAGGGTGGAGCTGTCGCCGGCGGCAGAGCGGGGNGTAACGGAGGAGTCGAGAGAGGTGGGGAGGGCCTTCCAGACGTTCTCCTCGAGGATGTTGATGACCTGCGAAGGCTTGAAGTAGATGTGCTCAAGTCTGCGCATGGCAATGCGGTTGGCTGTCTCTTGGACAAAGTTAAGCTTCTCGTCCTTTGCTAGGCGCTCGCAGTACAGCTGAGTGCGGACAATGTTGGTGTAAAGCGAAGCCTCGTCACTGAGACGCTCGACGTACTCGGCGGTGTGTGGGTCGACGGCCTGCAGAACACGGGTAAGCTCATCGTCCAGACGCTCGACCAGGGAGACAATGCTGCCGGGAATCTTGAAGGTCTCCTCGGAAGTGATGGTGGGGTGCTTCTCGTCGTCCTCCCAGTCCTCGGCACTCTCGATAACGACCAGGTAAGGGTGCTCCTCGAGAAGGGCCAGGAGAGCAGCGATTTCTTGCTGAACCAGCTTCCACTGTTCCTGTGCCATGGTGTTGCCACTGCCGCTGGTCAAGTCGAAACGGGTCGAAACAAGGGTCAGGAGCACGCGAGCCTTTTGGTACTCGGTGGCAGCCACATCGAGCAGCTTCTCAAGAGTACGGATCTGCTCCAGACGGTCGGTGTTCTTGCGTCCTCTGGATTCAACAATGGTGCGGAGGTGCTTGAGGATACCCTCGGGAGTGTAAGTCATGGCCTTGCCGCCGGCGCCAACCACAGTGAAGCCGTCATCGTCGGCACCAACAATGGTCTCGTCGGTGAGAGCCTTCTTGGCCTTCTTGGGGGCAGTAGCGGTGACCTCCTCAACAACATCGTCCTTCATGAAGTCGTCGGGGCTGTCGCGGTAGGCCTTGATGTCGGCATCGTGGTCACGGTTGTTCTTGCGGATCTTCTGGCGCATAGCGTTCAGACCCTTTGCGGCAACGGGGTTCATCTTCTTGGCCTTCTGCTTCTCCAGAGCCTCGAGCATGGCGGTTTCAAGGTCGGCAATGGTCTTGATGTACATCTTGGGAGCCTTGCCATCGTTGTCACGCTGGAGGACGGGCAGCTGGCGGTTGAGTTTGTCATAGTCTNNAGACGAGGGGGTTAGCTACCGCGTCGAAGCACAAGCAGCGGTATAGTAGCTGGACATACTGTCGTTGATGACGCTCCAGTCGTTGATCTTCTGGGCGTTCTCGATCAGACGGATGGTGCCTTCGAGTTCGTCGAAACGCTTGTCCTTTGCACTCTTGACCACGGTGCGGTCATCCTCTTCGTCACTCTCATCCTCGCTGGATTCGTCGCGCAAGAAGCGGTTGGCACCGGTCTTGCCACCCTCGTCGTCGCTGGAATCCGAATCCGACTCTTCCTCGTCAGACTCCTCCTCGCTGGACTCCTCTTCGGACTTCTGTGCCTCCTCCTCTTCGCTGTAAAGTTCCTCCTCGTCCGAGGAAGACTCGCTGGAGCTGTCGCTGCCGTAGAAAAAGCGAGACATGTTGGCTGACGCTGGTTATACACAGAGTCGAATCGCGATGCGCGTAGTCCAGGTGGTTGTGGATTTTTCTGCCAAGACGTCGACCCGCCAAGTTGGACTTGTGTGATGAAATTCGTTGCACGTGATTCTTCGGTTGTGCCCGCATATCCAGCTTGTGACATCTAACAGCCTGATGGTGAATAAAATAGGTTATTCATATGTCACTTAACATGTCTTCTACGCTCTTTCACTTGTCTTCGATCCGCTGGCGTGTGCCTAGAATAGTCGGTACTCCGCGTAGCAGCTCGACCAGCAGTCAATCAACCCAAAAAGAACTCGAAATTATCCGCCGCCTGCAGAGACAAGAGCGAATCACGGCCGCCACTCTGGATGCTGACATTGATGATTTTCTACAACGACTCGATCACTTTTATAAACCAATGTCTGCTATAGACAAATCCGTCCAATCTGCTTTACGACAAAACAAGTATATCTCTACAGAAAGATTGAGCCACGACAACAATATCAGCGTCTTCAGCAAAGAAATCATCGGACATTTCAACGACTTGAAAAAACACATCAAGGATTACAAGGAGGAGCCTTTTTCAACCTGGCAACCCGGCGATTCGGATGTGGTCCTTCGTCAACTCAATGACCCTAATCTCAAACCTGAAGACTTGGAAAGCGAGATGAGAACCAGAGAAAAGGATGTCACTCGTCTTCTTGACCAGGCTGACATCCACTACGAAGCTTTGGTCAAAGCCAGAGAGACCTTGCGCGAGAAAGGTGTACGCGCTGCTGAAGCTGTCGCGGATAGTTTCGTCAACTCACGTTCGTCCGACTATGCAAACATCGATGCTCCTTTGGATCCTGTCGATCTTGATACCATAGACGAGGACACTACAGCCATTCTTGCTTCCTTGAGGATGAGAAACACTTCTTGAAGCTGATCCAGGCTAGTAGCTTAATATATCGATCCTCTCAGTATGTCTCGAACCGAAGAGATGCTCAATCTGACTGCTAGAGACGCAATTGCTGTTCCATACAAGCACAACCTTCCACGATGGCAACCTAACGGCCAAATTATAAAACACGCTTCGACTTGCGATGCAGGTCAAACAGCAGGCACAACCGGTGCAATTCTGCTATCCAAATTTCACAAGCTCAATACCATATTAGCGACGTTACGCAAGCCAAACCTCGATGATGGATAACGACTCCTGTCGGACGTCATTCAAAGCAAACTTGACGAGGTATGCGCGGAGTAAGCAAGCCCAGGCCGCATGTATCGCCGTCGCTAGGAACACCCCCAATTGTTCGCCTGGACCCTCCACTACTTGCCAACCATACATTCAGCACAGAGATGACGACCGCTGGTTCCGCAGAGACTTCGCGTTGTTTGCATGAGTACTTTGATCATCGCCAACCAGACGAAAGTGATTAG